CTTTGTTACTGTAGTACTGTTTTTTCGCGATTCTCAGTAGGACTCTCAGTTTGTTTCTGTATGTGACGAATCTGGTTTTCAAGACATCATTTTGCTGCTCTATTTGTGAAAGTGCATACAGCCTTTCTTTTTCTCTTATACTTTTTATCAATGCATTAGAGATCCACATCTGTCTTTTTTTTTCTTTATGACGAATTTTTTTTGTAATAGTACTCTCTTCTATTTCTTTATTCAGTTGATTCACAAACAAATCAACTCCTACACTCACGTTTTGTGCTTCATATATAGGTGCCCAGCACGCATTTTTAAGTTTTTCACATAGTTTTGCATTGTCTGTGTATTTTTTGTTCATATCAGAAGAATCGGGTGTTTCGGGGGAAATTCTCTTAGAGGGTATTTTCAGTATTATTGGAAAGTGATCAGTTATGCAAGTTTTAAGAACTATAGGTAGGCATTCTTCAATATTGTGTTTTGTTTTCAGGAATATATGATCTATGCAAGATTTTGAGTTGTTACATACTCTTGTATATGAGTTAATCATAGATTTGAAATCGAACTCACTCATTAGGTCAAGGTATTCATTGGTTATCTCATTGTCGAGTTTTATATTTATGTTAAAATCTCCTATAAAAAGGTTATAGTCGAAATTTCCTGTTCCATATATGTTCGTATAGTTCCTAAGACCATACAGGAAGTTTATTTTTGATGTAGAGGGAGGCCTGTACAAAGATGTTATCAAGAAGGATTTTTTGTTGGTATATATTTCTGTTTGTATTATTTTGCATTCATCTATGTTTATAACTTTATACTTATGGTTGAGTGAATCTCGAATATATATAACTAAACCATCATTTTGATTTATGGAGCCATAATTATAAACTTTATCAAAACCATCCAAATTATATAACTCAATGTTCCCAATGTTCCATGTTTCCGATAGTATGATACAGTCAAATTTCGTGCTGAATTGTTCAAGAAATACTTTGAACTCATCAAAATTTTTAGATATGCTCCTAATGTTCATATGGATTATATTTATAAATTCAAATTCATGTGTATTGATGGAGTCTAGCTCGCTAGAGAATATTTCCTTGGTATTAATTGGTATATAATTTATATCTCTGAGGTATTGATCCATTTATGCGATGTAATAATATTATAATTGAATAACCAAGTACAAATGATAAGAACAAAATACAATATGATAGAACTACTATTTTCCGGTTACACTGCGCGTTTTTATTTTCTGCTTTTCCCCTACCTCTTTTGAAGTTCCCTCTGTTGGAGTGTTGATTTTTTGCTGTATGTTTTTGGTTGTTTGTTGAGGTTTCGTAGTTTGTTTTTGAAGTTCTCTATTCGTTGTTGCTATTGGCGTACCTGGGGCACTTTGTGGTTTTTCTGTGGTATTTTTTCCAATTTCTTCTTGATATACGGTGTTTGATTGGAAATCATGACGACCCTCCCCATCTGTGATGACATATATGCGCCTTTCCGGAGCGCCTCCCCTACCCAACTGGGCAGATAGGTGCTGCGAAACAAAGTGGGTACCTATTTTTTTTGCACCAATCAACAATTATCACTACATGATTGTTCGCAGTTACCGTGGGTGAATAATCTGAATTTGAATCTGGTGGTTTTTGGGGTCGGAGATGATTCTTTCGTCAAGATTTATAAATTCAAGATGGCGGATCCAATAAGGCGGACGAGTTTTGTAATTATGATCCCGATTCCATTCAAAATTGTTATCTAGGGGTTTTCGGAGTCGGAGATTGATTCTTTCGTCAAAATTTGGAAATTTGAGATGGTGGATCCAATATGGCAGACGGCTTTTGTATTGACTATTCAAAATTGGAAATTCAAGACGACAGATCCAATATTGCGACGAGTTTTGTAATTATCACGATCCGATTCCATTCAAAATTTATTGAATCTGGGGGATTTTGTGATTACTTGTTATGTAAATTATTACTATTGTGGGACCAAAAATATCATAATATGATCCCTGAATCTACGACACTAGTTATAGGTACCTACTCTCGTTGTACCTACCTAAAATCTTTCCAGTGCCTGTTTATTTCAAAAACTGTATCTTCTGTAGTAGTCCATGATCAAAGTGGAGTGGAATGATCAATAGAGAAAAAAAACCAAAGTCGTCTCCACAATATTATTATATTGTGGAGACGACTTTGGGTTTTTTTCTCTATTGTTCAAAAACTGTGTTTCCTTGTTTCACCTCAACCATCCTAATTTTCAGTAAAAAGACATATTTGATCCTTCTGTGTCTGAATAAGCCCCTTCAGCTCCAGAAAAAACACCGATGAGGTTGAACATTGTAATCCGAGACGTATCCGAGGATTACAACAACCTCATTCGTTATTCGCCAATCGGCAGTGTGTCATTCAAGACTTTTGGTAATTACGCTGAAAGATTACATTTTGATTCCGGGGAAAGAACAAATAACCACGTACCTCGTAATTTAAATCATTTGAAACTCCACGGACGGATAGGGACGGAGGCTGTTAACAGTAACTTTTCAATTGTCATCTGAATACCATTCAATCAAAATAACAGTATGAGATTTCGTAAAGATATAGAAACCAAAATAAAGTAGTTATATAGGTATAGACACCACATATATCTATTTTTTTCAAATGGCATGTTTGTATTGTTTGAAATATATGAAATAAAAATTAGAGGCATATATGTACATTTATAAGCACCCAAAATAAAAATAGGTAAGTATAAGGAAAAATAAAACTTCAGCTATTGATCACACAGCCTTTACAGCATAAAAATCAAAATATGTTGAATATCATGTTGTTTTATAACAATACAATAATAATTAAGATATAATAAAATAATTCATAAAATGACAGGACAATATAAAACCTCACCACAGCTACAATAATATAAATGTTGTGTATAAGAGGGTAAATTATAGTAATAAAAATATCAAATATTAAATAATTTGTACAGCTTTTTAAGATCCAAATTTTTAGAAATGATTTGGGTTCAAATAAGTCACCTGATATTTTTTACAAAATTTGTAAAACCTGATATAGCATAAACATGAATGTATACGTCTATACTGAAACTTGATTCCATCTACTCAAATATCTGTCACTGAACTACAAAAAGCAAAGGACTGCAATATTGTTGACTCATGTTGCTTTTCGTAATATAATATATACCATGTAAAAATTATGCACGTGTGGATTTGAAGGACATCTCCATGAAAAGCTATTCATAATTTTCAATTGAATATAGGTACTAGGAATTCAGCATACATACATTAATGTATGTACGCTGATGAATTATTGAGTAGACATAATTAGCTAAAATTGTGTTAAAAGAGCTACATCCAAATATTTATGAAGATAAATATTAGATTGAATCAATAATAAAAAATGAAACAACTATACGAGATCATTATAAATCTACAAACTCTCACACCCAGTGAAGCACTCATTAAAAAAATGTCAAAAAACTATCCATAAAAATATGGTGTGTGAAAAGTTCCCCTGTGTGGTTATGGACCTTCGAAAGTTCAGATGTGATTATTTTATTGTTCCAAATGCAGAGAGATTTTTTTCATTTACTAGCTTTCATTAGAGCATAAATTGATTGTTCAATGAATCTATAGGATTCGAGCTAGAGTGTTTTACTCTGTAACTTGTTTTCACACTGTACATAGTAAACAAAATCATATAAACATGAGCCCAGAAATGCCCGCGTGGGAAGTTATAGCCAGAAAGAAAGAAAGAGGTCCCGCAAGATGATGATTTTTAGTAAATATTTCTGAAACCCTCTGCGTTAAGGGTGAGTCATTGAATTGGGAAAGTGAGCTAACGGCTTCGCTGTTTGAGATAGATTTTCGTGATGGTCTAGGCGCATGAGCAGCACATTTCCGAAATATTTTGCGTTATACAGGGTGACTCAAAAATGTGCGACGAATCAAAGTTATACTTTTTCTTATGGGACACCCTGTATTTCATTGCATTTTCGGATTCTCCTTTGTGACCTAATTTCATCAATGCATCACGCTTGGGGTCAACGGGGGTCTAGCGAGAATGATAACAGAGATGTAGGCTGTTCAAAATCGAGATTTTTCAACTTCAGGATTTTTTTGGGTCGAAACTCTTCATTATTAGTCAAAACGGCTTACATGCCCCTGTGTTAACTATTGATTTACTATCTACTGATATTTAGTTTGAACGATTACAGGCTGGTTCATAATTCTGAATTTTAAACTACCCTGTATTCGTCCAAATTAAATACCAGTAGATAGTGAATCAAAAGTTAAGATGGGGACATGTGAGCCGATCTGACCAATAATTGATAGTTTCGACACAAAAAAATCCTGAAGTTCAAAAATCTCGATTTTGAAAATCCTATTAATCATTCCAGAATTACGTCATTTGACAGGTTGCTGAGGGGCAAACATTGTATTTTGTCAAGATATGTCATATAAAACCAGAATAAGTGGGATCGTTTTCCTTGGAATCCGAGTTGGAACCAGAAAGAATTTCATAATTTTGTTTGGTGAAACTGTTATTATATTGTAGATGTCGTAGGGATGGCCAGGGCTATGCTCATCAAAGGTAACCTCTAACAGATAGTTTGTGTGCCCCTCAAGAAACCATGTCAAAATCACATGTTCTAGAATGATCAATATCTCTGTAACCATTCCCGCTTGATTCTGAGTGTGATGTACTGATGGAATAAGTTCACAAAGGAGAATCCGAAAATGCACTAAAATACAGGGTGTCCTATAATAAAAAGTCGAGTAAAAAGTATAACTTTGATACGCCAGGCATACTTGAGTCACCCTGTGTACGTAATTTAGAAATATGCTGCTCATGAGCATAGACCATCACACATTTTTTATTCATCTATCTCAAACAGCGATGCCGTTATCTCACTTTCCCATTTCAATGACTCACCCTGTATGACTTTCCATGCCCGATTTGAAAATGTTAAGAATTTTCCGAAATTTTGATAGGGAGCGTGTGAACTAGGTGGGAAACAATTTACGGCAGTTTCACCACAAAATAATATGATACTCCTGTTTAGTTTCCATAGCACTCACCATTGGAGGATAATAGATTTTAAGATCTGCTGTGTAACAAAAATAGTGTTTTTTCCGAAGCTTTTTTCTTACCAAATTCTCCCTAAAATTAGTTTTCGATAGAAAAACCCTTTTTCCAATATCTACTTGTGATGTTTGACTCAAAATATAAGGAAAACAATGAAAAGAATAATTTGAAGAACATTATGGCGGGTACGGTATCAAGAAAAATTGTATTTTTATTATGCAGCAGGCTTCTAAAATCGATTTATCTCGAAAATGGTGATTGCTATCGAAACTAAATAAAAGTATCATTTTAAAGTAAAAATTATGATATTTTCATATCTACTGGTCAAACTGCCGAAAATTGCCTAGAAAAAATAGTTGGGGGAAGAAATGCCTCTAGCCCCACCTACTTCCCACGCCTGTTATCAAAATTCCGGAAAAATCTGAGCATTTCAAAATCGGACATGAAAAGTAATATACATGTACACAATTTCGTTATCATTTTTGAGCTCATGTTTACATGCACTTTTTTTACTATTTTTGTTATGAGAATCTGTGGGTGAAATCTATCTATATAATTTCGGGACACCCTATATACCTACTGGCTATAGAAGTTTTTATCCAATATCATTTGACATTGACTTCTAATCAGACAGGTTTATTTGATTTTCAAATGGATTTCTTCACATGGTGTAATTATTTTCTATGATTTAAAATTTATTGTAATTGGGTAAAATGCTATAGTGAAATTATAGAAAATAAATGTTGACTTGATAGATATCTTTGGAGTCAAAAAATTTGCTATACCAGACTTTTTAGATCACAATTTGATGCTTTCATAACAAATGTTGAAAGTTACAAATATACAAGATATGTTGATGAATAGAACAAATATATTCATTCATTTGATTTAGACTTTCTTGCTTTCAAGTATGCTTGCAAAATACTCTTATTTCTTTGTCTATGTTTTTTTATGGATGATAATCTCTTGGGGTATAGATCAAACACACCAACATTGACTAAAAAATTTCCATACTTTGTTTTTATGATGTTTTTCATTTCAAGATCACTAAAAAAAATAATATCCATTATAATAAAATAGAAAAAAAAGACCTAATATCGATTTTATTCTTTTCAATCACAAGTTTGATTATAATTGCACACAAAAGCCTGACAGGCACCAGATTTGTTAACATGTCGAATTTGGGAACATATTCAAATATGGTTTGATGATTAAATTCAGTACTGCAGAAAAATTCACTTGAAAATGAGTTCATAGTATTCACACTATAATATATGATAGAGCAGAGATTAAATAATATAATGTTTGTTAGAGCAGCGTACATAAGTTTATTTATGTAGGCTGGTTAGAGCAAACATACAAGAATGGAATGAATATGAAAAGAAAAATCTCTTACCAAACATCTTCAAGAATCTTCTTTAGGGATATCATTATTGAACAGTCTTTTGCTATGGCTGAAATCAAATATGGAACAAAAGCCAAATCCATTTCTTCTTCTCTATGATTAGTATTGCCTAACATCATAATGATGCATTTCAAGCAAACATCCTTGTTATCGATTCTGTCTAATAATTTATTAATGTATTTCCAGTCACTTGAATTTTCTTGATTCAATAGTTTGTCATAGTAGGAACATCCTTCTGTATCAAGCATCTGAATTGAAAGAATTTTTTCTAATACACAGCCTCTGGGTAACACACTGTTGATGTTTGAATCTTGGATTATTTTGTTCCATTCACAGAAACGTTTTTCCTCACAGTTATCAGGGAAATCAACATTCATGACATTTGTTACCAAGCTTTTCACAACTAATTCTGAAAATTCATCTATTAACCTGAAAATAAAGGGAAATACATTTATTAGCTTCATAAAATCAATACATACCTATTTATATTTTTACCTGTCAAGTTTATCATCTATGTTGCTGAACAAGCTATGAACTATATTGAAGAACTCTGGTTTAGTTTGTTCTCCATAAACCAAAATTCCGTTTTTAAACACCCTGAAATTATTTTGGGGAACCTTAATCAAACATTTTATGGCATTTTTCATTTTTGAAACATCTCTGAAAAAAATAGCACCAAGGTAGTTTGAAATATTGATTGATATTAGAGCCACTAATTTTACTAACCCTGAAAAGAGATCTTCAGGACAATATCCACTTATTGTATTAATTCGTTTATTTCCTAATTTCATATACTGGTTCATACAAAACACACATGCTGGAAAATGTTTTTCACTGAGGGATCGCCAAGCCTGTTTTGGTTTGATTTCGATTGCAAATGTGTCTTCAGACATTTTGAATGGTAGGTAGTCACATTCTTCTTGAGGTATGAATGCAAAATCGTTGAAAATAGAAGCCCTTCCATACTGGAGAATTTTATGTTTTCTAAACTCTACAAGAACATTAAGCATGAAAGGACACCCCACGAAAAAATGGGAAATTGGCTCTCAGTCGAATTGGCTGAAATTTTACTGTTGTTGTGGGATGGCTCATCAGGAACATATTGAGTTTAGAAGGAGAGGAGCAAAGAAGAGAGGAGAGGAGAAGAGAGGAGAGGAGAATAGAGAAGAGGAGAATAGAGAAGAGGAGAATAGAGGAGAGGAGAATAGAGAAGAGGAGAATAGAGAAGAGAATAGAGAAGAGAAGAATAGAGAAAAGGGGAATAGAGAAGAGGAGAATAGAGAAGAGGAGAATAGAAAAGAGGAGAATAGAGAAGAGGAGGAGAGGGGAAAGAGGAGGGGAAAGAGAGGGGAGAGAGGAGAGAGATCAGTGATATTCTTTCACTCTGAACTAACTGACACTGACACATTTCACTTGAACAGAACTGAATCAGTTGACATGGATTGTGCAAGATTGTGCATAATGAATGTCATTTGCAAGAACAATTCAGTTCAGTTCTAGTGAAATATTTCAGTAAGTTCAGATAGAAAGAATAATATTATTTTCATTGAAGCATTTGAATGAATATCTAGGTTCACAGAATAGAAGTAATAACAATTTGTGTTAATTGAATCCTGATTGATGATTGAACTTACCTGGTCTATATTTTCCTAGTTCATTCTCCAATATTTTTATCTGTTTTCTTGTCAGTATCACCTGCATTGCTTCAGAAGTATACTTTCTACCAATAAGTGGACGCATTACTGTGGAATAGAACTTGAGATCTCTCTCTTCATCTTCAATTGCTTTTCCAAAATACCAAAATATGAAATCACTTATCCACACTATCAGCCATCCTATCAAAGAATTTGGCTTGTTTGTTTTACGTATTCTAAGGATTTTTCCTGTCTTTGGTAAGGACAATACTATGTTACAATTTCCTTCTCCCCGGTATATCCATTCTGAGGGTATTTTGAAGTCAATAAATGATTCCTCATCATTCAACATTTTGTAATTCCAGAATATAACAAATCTATGGGATAAGGAAAAGGTTGATAAAGCAGAGTAACATCAGATTTGATTGATTTGAAGTGATATAGCTATAATAATTGACTTTCACTCATCTGTTGTGCAAGAGTCTAGTGCAAGTATACACAATTTATGAATAACAAAACATACCTTAAAGCCACCCAATAGATGGTCGTGTTGCCAAAGGCCTCTAAAAAATAATTCCGGTTGAACCATAATTTTACAACATTTTTTACAAGAAAGTGCAAACTGCAAAGTGCAATTATCAATTATAGAATTATATTCAGCTAAAAAAGTGGATTATTGAAAGCAGCAAAAGTGATCATTTTTGACACTTTTGCTTTTGTTTTGACAAATCAGTCAACTCAGTGTGACATTACTGACAAGTGACAATAACCTAATAAAATATTTGACCTTTGGCTGGCTTATAGCCTATAGAGCAAAGGCCAGCAAAAGCAAGAGAGTATATCTTTAGTCAATTGTCTTATGCAGCAGAGGCCTATGGTGTTTTAGTTCTGTACCTATGATCAAGAGATTAGTCAACCACAACTATTCGTCTGAGGGTTGACTGACATAGAGTCACTGGATGGTATTAGTTTGATAAGAGTTCGGACACAGCTGAACTTTTGTCCTTTTCTATTTTCTATAATACAATGGTTTAGGTGAATAAAAGAATAAGACATATATTCGGCTCTTTGTCTTTTCAATTTCCCTAGTAGTGCCTGATTGTCAGATACGATTTCAGAGGTTATATTTTCTGTCAAATCAATCATAGCCGTAGATGGACAATGGATATAGGGTACAAACACCCAATTCAATTTTTAGTGATACACTTTCAACAGAACAACTGTTATATAAATGAAAAGAATGCATGTAACAACATTTTAATATTAGAAAATATACACATATGGATGAACTTTTATAGCTATAATTCCTTATTATATGTGAAACTGTACTCCAGTGATGAGTATAAAACATGATAGATAGATATTCTCAATATACAGGAAGTAAGATAAGTACTTTCAAGTGAAGTATTCCTGAGACAATTATAAGAAATAAAGTCTATATAAGCTTTTGTGTCCGGAAATGCATCATTTCGTAGATACAGAGTGCTGAAATACAAAGAACAAATCATTTTTCGATAAACATTTGATAGGAAAAAAGTAGTTTATTTTGACGAGACCTACCAAATACTTGGTTTGGTAAAGTTCTCAGCAACTCCACTTAGCGCCCTAGGAGCTAATAAGTAACATGGATCGATATAGAAAATATCTCCAAAACATTATCCTCTAGCGTAATTAAGGCCCTTATAATAATTCCCTTGATAGGTACATAAATAACTATTCACTGTCCACTGTTGAATTTTAAATTTGGTCGGCACCAAAAACGCCATTCAATAATATATCACTCTGTAGTTTACTTGCTTTTCTTAGTTTCGTTTTCAAATTCTCAATTTCATTATGTAATTTTGCGATCATTTCCTCTTTTCCATGATCATTTCGTTTTGTATTTTGTATGATGATAATAATGGAAATTTGTTCTCGAAATCGCCTGCTTTGTAAATTGACGGAACAGCATCAGATTCTCACAAACAGAATTTGAAATCTTCTGTTTGAAGATGGGCCTAAAATATAGTTTCATTCTAATCAGATGCTGTTATAAAAAGTGAATTTTAATGAGTACCTCACAAATTTCGCTCGTCTTCAAATTGATTTTGCACCCATCAGGCCATTTCATATCTTCCTTCCATAAGCGAATGGTTGATATTTGTTTCGGAAAATTGAATAAATGATATCCATTTTCTTCAGAATTGGCACAATTTATTACACAGCAAGTAATTTCCATAGCTGCTTTCATCTCGAATGTATAATTATGAAATTTTATTTCAATTCTGACGTTTATAAAATGTATTGTCAAATTCAAACAATTTTGAATGAAAAAGCGCTGGACGACTATGGTGCTCTTGTCACAATGCAAGGTGTGAAACTTAATAAATCTAAACACTCAAAAACCCTAACCGTTGTCATTTCTGTGTCCGAACTCTTATCAAACTAATAACATCCAGTGACTCTAGACTGACATACTTCTGTCCTTTTCTGTTTTCAAAAAATGCATTGATGATTGGATAAAGGAATAAGACATATATATCGAGCTCTGTCTTTTCAATTCCCCTAGGATCAATGATTGTCAGAAACAATTTTGAGGGTTAGATTATTTGTCAAACCGTTCATAGCCGTAGGTTGAAGTGAGAAATAGGGCTATTTTGACTAGAATAACTATTAGATTTTCAAATAATGAACAATGGGGTGTTCAAATTCCGAATCGATAATTTTCATAATCAATTTCTGAGATGGCTATCGCAAATTTTCGTCATCAGATATTTCTTCACTTCATTAGATATAAGAAAGATAATTTAAGTGTTCTACGTGGTATCACATATTGCCAAGACAATATAGTTGTTTTCTGATGGGATATGAAAAAATAGAAGATATATAATTGTTTCAATATAATTTTAATTGTGTCAGTTTCTCACCTCTTCCTGCAGTCTACATTGACCTGTAAATTTTGAATTTGATATGAATTGAAAACACCGTGGACTGATGACATAGCACATTGCAATTTCTCAAAATCTACTAGTTTTGATTTCAAACTTTCAATTTCTTTCCGCATCATCTCATTCTCATTTTCTTTCTCAGCGATCGTATCATTCAGTAATTCCCAATACGATGACGACGGAACTTTTTTTTGAACGTCTCTATTTTATAAATTGACGGCACAGCAGACTCTTTCAATTTGAAATCCATCAGCTTGAAAGATTCTCTATCAAAATGGGCCTAAAATTCTCCTTTTTTGTACTGTGTTTTCAAGTAAATTTGTATATTTACCTCACATATTGCGGATTTATTGGAATTAATTGTCCATTCTCGACGTTCCATTACATTCTTCCATGCATGGACGTATAAACAAAGAACGTCCATGCTTCCATGACTTTATCTTCAAAGGATCATTCGGAAAATTGGATAACTTGAATCCCTTTTCTAATGAATAATCGCAATAATGTACGCAGCAGGACATTGAAATAATTCAAAATGCTAAATTTTGGCGGTCATAAAATTTCAGTGACAGTGACAGAAATTCGAAATAATTAAAAAAAGCGTGCAGGACGACTATGGTGTTTCGTCACATTGTCAGGTGGGCCAACCAAATGAAACAAAATATTAAAAACCCCAACGGCTGTCAGTTTTGTGTCCGGACTCTTCTTCTACTTATACTAGAGTCACTTATACCACCAGGGACTCTAAGTAGAAGTAGTATGACATGATTTTAATAATTGTAAGATATTGTAAGAGGTTTAGGCATCTCAAAAATGAAGAATAATGAGAAGAAGAAGAATAACCAGATAAAATTGAAATTTGACAGTCAAAGCAAAGTGTAAAGGCGATTCTTATTTTACAATTTTTCTAAAATTACGTAATTAAATATATTTATAAAAACATACACTATTTTCAATATTGTTAATGATGATTATTATGATTGAGGAAACGTTTCCAGTGTGATCAAGAACAAATGAAACCCGAAATTCCTCTACCCGTCAGTGTCAAATAATTCACAGTGAATTTTGTGCAGTTTCACAAGATTTTCTAACAAAAAAAGGAAAATCCAACATAAAGGTACAGGCAAATTTGAATTCATTCTATTTTTATTGTGGTAAAAATTTGTACCAAGTAGTTGATAACATTCAAATTTTTCAGCAATAAGAACTTAGTGAGAGGTTAGAACATCAATGCAGAAACATGCCCTCTAATAATCAGGTTTCTTATTACTTTAACTTCTTAAAATAGTTTGCATGTTCTTATAATGAAGCATATGTATGTTCCTAATATTCCTATTTTAGATTTTATATCTCTTCAGATCCTACAAGAAGGGGCAAATAATATAAGATCTGTGTAAATCACAAAAAACTGTCAGAAATTTGAAGGGCCCATCCTAGGTTGTTGGCCACTTGCATGCAATCTTGCTCTCCCAAAATGTTATTAATGGTTTTAACAAAAATAGGCAAACAATAGGGTGTCTTCAGGGGTTGTCCTGACAGAATAATAATATAATATAAAAATACCTCATATTATATATGTTTGAAGTTTGCACTTTTCTTAAGATAATTTTCTTGAATATTTCTGAAATGCATCACATTAAAATAATGAATTTTCATATAGTAACTAATCTCTTGATGTTGATGCTGAATATGATAGAGAAGAAATAAATCAGAAATTAAGATTAGGTGGGTACCAGAGGATGGGAAAGACTGGATGAAGAGTGAAGAATATAATTTTTTTTGTTGGCATGGAGTATGAAGAATTTGATCTCAAATAGGTATATTGGATTTCAGGGAATTTCAAATGTTTTTTATTAAGAGAAGTTGCTCTAATTTCAATCCAATTATCAGATGTTCTGTTTTCCAGTAAATTTAATTTGAAAATATCATGTCATAAATAATCTAGTGAATAATGCATCATATCAGACCAACAAAGTCTGTTTCAATATTCAGAATGTCTGCTCTGAAATATTCTGTACTTAATTGTTTTTCCCTTTGTTTTCATTCATTTTTTTTTTGTTTGATTGGATATTGTAATAGAATGGTAATAGATTGGCAATGACTGATAAAAAGACAATTTAAGTGATTCTGGTGGCAGAATTGAGAAGATTAACTATAATAGCACAATTTTTATATTATTACAAAGATTAATATTTGTTGAAGGATTATTGGACAGTTACATTGGAAAGAATGAATGGTAAACTAGATCACAGCTCCAAGATCTATACATAGATATATATTTAGATAGATGAATAGATGGTAGATTGGTCCAAACAATGAGCCCTTAGCCTATGTCCCAATAGTTATGACTCACCCTGTATAATCTCACTATCTGGTATTTGTTCTCTAAGCATGGAATAACCCATTTTTATTAAAAAAAATTTATTAAATAAGTGAAAAATTGGCTGATGAAACATTAGCAAACCATATATAATTGTGTACAGGAGAAAAAGATCTTTCACTACAGTTGAAAATATAAATTTAAAAAAAACTGATTTGCCCTCTTCTTATATTTTGCAATTCTCATTTATTTATTCAAGGAGCGCTAAAAGATAGTACAGATGTAACCTTAAAACTTCAATATTTGAAGGTTTTTATTGTCACCTCATATAGTTGGAGCTGTAAGTAGGGGTCAAAATATACGGAGACACCCTGTACAATATCTAGATGTAACTGATTGCCAACATTCCAAAAATTATTGTTTTCATCATTATTTATTTGAATTTTGAAAAATGAGACATTTTGCAAATGAAACGAGAATATAAAGAGATGTAGGTATTGACAGGATTGATTACTTCATTGAAGAAGATTTTATTATAGTGGAGGGAGACAAAAACCTACGAAGGCCTGGAAGGGACACATAAAACAAAAAAAATAAAAACTTCAAAATTCTGAGTTATAACTCGGAATTTTACATCAAAATTCCGACTTATATCTCGGAATTTTAAAATTCCGTGTTATAACTCGGAATATTGGATGTAAAATTCCGAGTTATAACTCGGAATTTTAAAATTCCGAGTTATAACTCAGAATATTGGATGTAAAATTCCGACTTATATCTCGGAATTTTAAAATTCCGAGTTATAATTCGGAATTTTACATCCAATATTCTGAGTTATAACTCGGAATTTTACATCCAATATTCCGAGTTATAACACGGAATTTTAAAATTCCGAGGTATAAGTCGGAATTTTGAAGTCTTTATTTTTTTTATTTTATGTGTCCCTTCCAGGCCTCCGAGTATAAATTTTCAAAATCGATCTGTATCAATCAATCAATCAATAAATCAAACTTTTATTGAATAAGTTTTCTTCTACAATAAAAATTAGGAAAGAATCATAACATCATTGTAAAATACTAGCTAATAAACGGAACAGTTATGCAAAATCTGATTAGGCCATCTTGAATTTCACAAAAAAGTGGCACCGCGAAAATCGCAAGGTTCTATCTTCAACAATAACCGAAATACCCAATATGGGATGCACTGTACAGTTGTTGGAAAATTATCTGAGCAAACAAAAAACTTCATCGGATTGTTAAATATTCAATGAATACCTGGTATTTATTTATTTTATTTATTGATTTACTCATTTACTTTCAATATCAATTCTGATACACATGAGCATCACACCAGACCAAGTGAACATTCTAAAACTATCAAAATATAAACCCAATTAGGGAAAAAATCATTGTCTTTTTGTGGAATGAATATTTATAATAGTCTACCCAACAGAATAAAATCTATTAGGTTTGTCACAAAATTTAAGTGTGAACTGAAGAGATATATTTAATCAATTTAACTCCCTCCTTGTATCAATTAATTCTGATTGAACTGTTTATCTTTCATTGTATTGCATATTTGATATACATTTCTCAAGACACTAAATGGACCACTCATAATTTGACTCTATTTCGAGGACCTGTATTTCTTGAAAAATTTGACCGATCTCCATGCGGTGTTCGATATCAGATGTTATATTTTATCGGCTTCAAAGAGAGCTAGAACACTCTGGAAAAGTCCGCAGAACAAAGCTTACACAGGGTGTAATGTGGAACCATTACACTATCTGCCAGAACTCGAGAAATTTTTTTCTGATCAAAAGTCAGTTATACCTCATCTCCGGACATTTCGTAATTTCTCCTCAATTGGCCATTGGAACAAAAATTCGATTTTTCGATTTCGATTTTATAATAATAACTGTTCTCATGTTTTGTGGAGGACAATGGAAAACGAAAGAAACACTATTGTGGAATATACAGGATGATAAGAAAATAGGACAAAATCCCATTTCAGTAAAAAAAATAAAAAATGGTGACTAAAACCATGGCCCATTCGATTCCATTATTTATATTAAACTAATAACTCGAGAGACATTTTCCAAAATTCGCCTCTAATTGAAATACAGAATGAAAATTTTCAATTCAAACTTGTTTCCTGATATCGATGATTTTTATCAACTGATTTCCAATATTTATTGCCCAAGTATGAGACAAAGAGTATTGTTGTTCAATATACTAAGAGTTTCACAACTTATCTGACCAATTACGAACTCTAGAAAATAATAATGTTAGAAGAATGTGGTGACCAGCATTATCTCCAGATCTGAATTTGATTGAACATGTGTGAAGCCGAATGAAAATTAACCTATCGAGAAGGCGCGAGGCACCCCCTAATAATGACAACCTTATCCAGGCTATATCAGAGGAATGGGAGGCAATATCAATAGACTTCATCAAAAACCTCATAAAACCTATATATGCCAAACCGATTTCATGAGGTTTTGTTAAATCGGGGAGGCCCTACTAAGTATATCCCACAATAATGCTTTTTTCGTCTTTCATTGTCCTCCACAAAACATGAGAACAGTTTTTCCCAATAGTCAGCTCAAGAGGAGTTCTAGAGAAAAAATTCAAGAAATGCAAGACTCACGAAAAAAAAAATCGAATTTTTGTTCCAATGGCCAATTAAGGAGAAATCACGAAAAAGTCTCGAGATGAGGTCCCAGTGTATCATAATATGACTGACTTTTGATCAGAAAAAAATTTCTCGAGTTCTGGCAGCATTGGAAATGTAGACCATAGTGTAATGGTTCCACTTTACACCCTGTGTAAGTTTTGTTCTGCGGACTTTTTCAGAGTGTTCTAGCTCTCTTTGAAGCCGATGAAACATCACATCTGATATCGAAAACCGCATGAAGATCGGTCAATTTTTTCAAAAAATACAGGTCATCGAAATAGAGTCAAATTATGAGTGGTCCATTCAGTGTGTTGAGAACTGTATTTATTATATTCTTTCTGTTTCCCTCTATAAACATTGTATGTTTCTTGGGATCAATGAATGTTATTATTATTATTATTATTTGCTAAATCCTATGGCACATCAATTATTTCTTATTTTTTGTTTCAGTTTTTCATTTCCTGATTTGCTGCTAGTGCATGCTTAATGTGATCGCGACTTAGCCAACACTCTGTAGACTTGCACGCTTGAAATGATGGATACTTTGAACCGCCAGCTATCTTTGATGAGCGGTGACGGTCTCCACAACCTGCCTGCGCCCATGAAGGCGTACATAAATGAAAAAGGATTGAAGATACCACTTGACAATTCTCCATTGCAGATTTTTGTCAAAGCCAAGAAGAAAATCAATGATATTTTTGGAGAAATTGAGGAATATGTCAAGGATACAGTGGAATATATGCATGGTAAGTAATAGTTATTTATATAACAAGGTAGTAAAGAATGTCATTATTACTCAGGGACCATGATTATATCCCGAGGCTTCAGCCAAGGGTTATGAGGTCCCAATCGGTCCCATGGTAATATTCTTTACAACCAAGGTGTATATTAATTTTTTTCCATCACTAGCAGTACATTTCAATCATTCTAGTTCTGTGAAACTGAAATATGGACGTATTGTCACTCAATTAATTACACGAGACCTTTTTTTTTTGTAGAAGTGAACTGGACATGTATCAATAAGAATTTTGTTGCCTGGCAATTTGTCGAAAAAGACTGCCTCTGGCAGTTTTTTGAGTGGAATTGCCTAATGGCAACAAAATTCGAATTATAAATGCCAAGTTATTTGTTTCTGAGATACAGAGTGTCAAAGTTGTATATCTCAGAAACAGATAACTTTTGGACATATGTTTATACGAACTTTCCTTCCAATTTAGACGTCAGCAACATGCTCCTGAATTTTCTACACGTACTTAAGAAACACCCTGTATAAGTCATTAAAACTTGATATATACCCAATAATATCAGAAATTAATCATTAAAATACTGTAGGTAAGGATGGATACAAATTGTGTGACATCTTTATTGCCTACAAAGTTGTTTACTTCTCACTCTATAGATTTTATTACTCAAATGTTATTTCAATATCCAGAAAACTGACATATTTATCATTCTGTTAATAATTCGTATTTTTATCTTCAAGAAATTGAAAAGGATGAGAATATAGTAAATGGTGATCAAGTTAAGGAAACAAAGGAATTTGTGGGCAAAGTCCACAGCATCAGGGATGTCCTGTGCAGGGATCACATGAAAGTTGCCTTCTTTGGAAGAACATCCAATGGAAAGAGTACAGTTATAAATGCCATGTTGAGGGACAAAATTCTTCCAAGTGGCATTGGTCATACCACCAACTGTTTCTTACAAGTAAGCTCATATTAATTTTGTACTATTATTCCTCTTGAAATTATTTTCTCATTAACTCTAGGCACATATTGTTCCCCTGGAAAATAAACTATTTTACCAATTTTTTTGAAAAGGTCAACTTTTCCTGAAATGAAAAAAAAAAACAAAATTCTCAAAGTGGAAAAACTAGTTAACAGAGTGGAAAATTCATAGCAATTCTGACGAAATGTTCAAATAATTGAACATGAAGTGGAGTGAACAAAATAGTCAATTTATAATCTTCATGCATGTGTACTGTCAAGAGGAAATTTGGCAATAACAAATGAGTGGGATTCCATTTCATTTGAGTTTACACCACCGTCCAAATAATAAGACAAAAATAGCAAAAGAAAACTTGATTTTAGAGTTACTATTTGCATGTGTTTCCTTTCAGATGTTGACAATAACAAATATATATGAATTAAGTTTTGACCACTATTTTTGTAGTGTTTCTCGTTTTCATCCAGTTTATTAATGATGAAAAGAAAAATTATTTCGACCTGCTGTATTTCCAAGACAAGTTGACTTTCAAGTAATATCAAGATGGGTGTCTTTAGGGCTTCTACTACCGAACAACCTACTATCTAGACTGGAAAGAACAAACCACGTACGTAATTCTACAGAAAAATCTCAACATCGTGTTATTGTGAAACAGTTAACGGCTGCCGGCCGTTAAACAATCTTAATCGACGGAGGCTGTTATAGTATATTACACACCGAGGTAGGAAGTGATTCATTCCTGTCGTGAGATTAGTTAGTTAACCGAGACGCAAAGCTGCCACAAAAGCTGAGTTGAAGAATCCTCTCGAATCGTCGATTTGGCAGCAGTTCCACAGAGACACTTAGAATGTTAGGTTATTTCCGCGGAAGAAATAAACAAAACAAATCATTATTTTCAACCAGTTACTCTCTGATCACGATCATTGTATCTTTCTGTTACTAGGTGGAAGGCGCCAACACGGAGGAGCCCTACGTGGTCCTCGAAGGCTCCGACGACCGTTGCGCCATCGAATCGGTGGGCCAGCTGGCGCACGCGCTGTGCAAAGAGAAGCTCAGCGAATCGTCGCTGGTGAAGATCTTCTGGCCGAAGAGCAGGTGCGGCCTGCTGCGGGACGACGTGGTGTTCGTGGACTCGCCCGGCGTGGACGTCACGCCGAATCTGGACGAGTGGATCGACAAGCACTGCCTCGACGCCGACGTGTTCGTGCTGGTCGCCAACGCTGAGTCGACCCTCATGGTGACCGTAAGTGTTTGGAAAATACCAATGACTTTTCAACACGACGAAGAATACCAGTAGAGTCCCAATTATTACCTGTCCTGAAATACTGGGTACAAGTAGAGTCCCGGCAGCGTATTTCCGAACCCATGTGCAGTACAGAGCGCCGCATTATACTCTGTATTCTGTGCTGCACAGTGTTTTGTAGATCAACAACGACGTAGCGTTATTCCGAACCCATATGCAGTACAGAGCGCCACATTATACTCTGGCTATATTCCGAATTCAACTGACAGTACTGAATCTGCTGATTTTCCATTCCGAAATCAAAAAATTCACTGGAAGTGACAGATGCTTGTCAGCAGACATACTATTCATTCCAAATATTTCGACTCAACAGTCTGCTGGAATTGCTGAGTATCAAAAGGTAGTGTGGCTTCAGTGAACTGTCAAATTTTAGAGGGGGAAGGAATGTAACAATCATTTCCGTTGTTATAATGAAATGATTCTCAATATCATGGATATGGAGTATGAAGTAGTAGATCAGGTAAGGAAAGTAGCAGCATTGGCTAAATAAACTAAATAAACCTGGAATGTCTCCTAAAATTCATCATTATTAACAGGTTGAGTGCCATGAGAGACCAACATGGTCTCGCACATACTTCTGACTTTGTGGCCGCGTGAGACCAATATGGTCTCGCATATATCCACAACTGATTTGGCTGCATATCTCCACAGCGGTCTCTCGCAGCATTGTGAACTGACTGGCGTTCGAAACAGCGCGGCCTGGTGGTCCAGAGACATATTTTGGCCTGTGGATATGAGAGACCAAATTGGTAGTACGTGGCTTGGAAATGTTAGTAATCTTTTTTTTTTCTCACGAGAATATTTAGGTACTTTTATTAGTTTTCTTCATTTATACATCATGAACATGTAACAAAATCATTCAGAATATTCTGAGAATGAAATAAATATCATTCATTGAACGATATACTAACTGTTAGGAACTGCACTAGTCGACGGTATATCATTTCTGAATGTTTGAATTTTTCTAGCACCGACTCTCTTTTTGATTTTGGGACATTTTCTCGGTTGTTTGGAAGATGCATCCTTCAACGATGACGAAGAATCTACTGATGACTCACATTGATATTCATCAGAAAGATACACGTTTCCAAACAGTGATTCCTCATCTTGATTGCTTCAGTTTTCGTCTTCATCGGACAACACCTCCTAACATAACTTCGTCAATTGCTTTTGTTCTTTCTCGTACGAGGACATGATGTGACTCTTGCAGCATCACGAGATAAGTTGAGCCGGTCTGCCGATCCCCCGCTACAATTCTCAACATGCAGACATGCGCATAGCGTAGTGACACGTTGGTCTCGCACAGCCGCCTGAACAAAATGGTCGAATGAGGGGCCGTGTGAGACCAAAGTGGTCTCCAAAATTTATCGCCATTTTCAACCTTCCAAAAATTCCGGCACATCAAAAATAAAAGTAAATATCAACAGTATGTTAGTATCTGATGTTTTAGGCAAAAATAATGTATGGGCCTCTGGAAGCGATATTTTTCGATACATGGTGGCACTCAGGCATATTGCGATTTTCATGAATCTCAATTCGCAATCTGGTGCATCATGAAAAATTTATGGCAACAAAATGTCCAAGTATTCTTCATCACTCGAGCTTTAATCGCCATCGTCAACAATCGTAGAAACTATAGAGGATACAAGAATCGATTTCTCTTCCATGTTAAATATTAAATTTCCAAAATTTATAACAAGTAGGAGGCTAAACATCTAGTTCAGATAAACGAGAAACTACTACTGATGGAAACCATGAAAACGTGTCCCGAATTACAGTAGTGAATTTTTGATTTTATATTTCGGCACAGATATTTTCAGCAGAGTCAGTGGATCAACTGACAGTACTGACCAGTTGAATTCGGAATATAGCCTCTGTGTTCTCTTCTGCACATTGTTTTGTAGACCATAAACGCATAGTACGCTACTCCAAACCCAAATACAATGCAGACGCAGCAGACGCTACGGGTAAATTGGTTGCTATTGGGCACACTGTGCTTGGAAAATGAGACAATTTCGAATATAAACCCATAAGCAGTCCAAACGTACTTCACAAATTATTGTGATTCATTTTGCAGGTGCTCTGAATTCCACTGGAAATAATTATATAGCGTGCGCTTTTACGAACCCCTGCGCTTTTATACGAACCCCTGCGCGTTACAAACGGGTGTGTGTCTGCAATAAAATGTGAATAGAGTCCCAAGGAAGATTCAGTAGTATCCTTCCTAAAAATAAACTTTCTATGATGATTTGGCCAAGTGATGTTAAATTATTCAGAAAAAGTAGTCTCCTATCTAAGATATGATCCTTCCTCACGATTTTGTCAAGAGCCTTTCGTATCAACAAGTTTAATCCGCCCGCAATTGACCCATAATACCGAAGGTAACTCACGCTCAATTGTCCTATTCATTCACTACTACCTCCTACGTCTGGGGACTGGTAGTATACAATTTTTGAGAAGGGAATTAAATCAGGTAAACGTGACTCTACTCCTATCTGCGTCAGCACCAGAGACTTCATAATTTACGTTTTTGCCCGATCAGTCGTTGCTCGGTCCTTTATTTCCATCTTTTTTCCTCCTATTGCCATACTGTACCATTTTTAAATACGTTATGAAGTTTTGCAGAGGATTGCATGATTTAACATGAAACAATTATTATACTATGCTGAAGCATAATTGATTCATAAAATAATGTTTGCAATACTGCGTTTCTTATGTCAACAATGGTTCCTTGTGTTGTTCATAATTATGGAATTTCATAGTTAATTTCAAACGTGCCGTCGTGGCTGCCGTTTGGCCATGTTCTGGGATATGTCGTATACATGGTGACGTCCGTTATTATGCTGTTTTCTTATTGGTCAGATAATCTTCCATTCCCACTCATGAAGCTAGGTTGTCGAGTCACCAATAATAATCTTGTCATTAAAAAGTTGTTAGAGTCCTGTAGTTGAATAAAACTACATCCAAATCAAATATTCCACTTGACCCAATAGGAGGAAGCCATAAAATATGCGTCTAAAAGTGCCTCTAGCAAATTGTGTTTTTACTGCAGTAATAATGTTGGGACAGGATTCAATTGTACAAATTGTGATGCAGTCAGTCATAACAGTGTTTTTGAAAAAATCATGTTGTGGAAAACGTATCCTGAGGGAAAAATTGGATTCAACTGATAGTGAAAGCCTCGAGGATAAATTGACAGCACTTAAGTATGAAAATAAATTACTAACCGAACTAAATGCAGAATTGAACACAAACAACCATTTACTCAAAGACAAAATCCTATTCCTGGAAGAAAAAGTAGACCATTATAATGACAATTATGCATTTCAACAAAATATTATAGAAAACGTCGAATCGTATATTTAGAAAGCCATTCAAGAATATTTCAACAAAAACCAAACTACTGTTGAGAAAACCATACCAGAAAGTAATGTAAAAAGTTATACATGCAAAAACACCGACTTTGATGTAAATCCCAGACAAGGCAGGCAACAAGAAAGTCAAAGTAAAAACATTCCAAATATTGATGATGATAAAAAAGATGAAGAAAACTACGGGCGATTGCAAAATGAACAGAAGAAATCCTAGTAAATAGGCAACTTGAACAGATGACAGAAATAATAAATGTTGAAAACAACAAAGCACACATAAAAGTTAATAGATGTAACAAAGAACTCTAGAGGTGAAAATAAAGGCAAATCGAAAATTAACTTTGAAGGTAATGAGATAGTAATTCAAACAATTCCAAATCAAACAGCGAGTGGTAGAAAGTTCGTCATAAATCAGCGAAGAGAAATATAGAAGAATCGGAAAAAATGAGTGGCGAATTCCAAGTGGCAAAATCAATGGATGTATGTATATGGAGTTACTGATGATGTAGATGCTGAGGATATAACAACATATAAGAAAGAACCGGCGATAAGAATGAAAAATTCATTGACAAATACCTGGAATCAAGTGGTATCAATTAATTTGAAGTATTTCATGGTGGCAGCTGACTTCAAATTCAAGGACCATTTCAAAAACCATCATTTTTGCGTACCGAAGATTTGACTTTCAAAGGGACAGCATTAACCAGGAAAACGTGCCAAACAAACAGCCAACTTCTTTTTCAGGTCATTGAATACACCAATTAGATCAAACATAAATTGTCTAAATGTCTAAATTCTTCTGGAACTGATGGTATTTCACCAGAAATAATAAAAATTATTGCTGATTCTATACTATCCCCCTTAACCTGTCAACCTGGCTAGTCAATTTATCATTACAATGTGGAAAATTCCTGATTCGATGAAAGTCGCCCTTATTTTTCCTTTTTTGAAAAAAGATAATTTGCATTCCATTGAAAATTATCGTCAATATCTCTTTTACCAGTTACATCTAAAATCCTCGAACGAGCAGCGTACGGCGTAATTATGAGTTTCATTGAAAAAAATAATATATTATCAATATCACAGCATGGTTTCAGGAAATGTCCATCTGTAGAAACGGCAACAAACCACCTTTCGGACTATGTATATCACGAGTTAGATTGTGGAAAATATGTTACTTCATTGATGTTTGTTTTGTGTAAAGCATTCGACAATATACATTTTCAATTTTTTTTTCTTGAAAAACTGCCCATTGGTATTAGATGTTGGATTGGATTCATTGCTATTTAACGAATAGAAAATCATAGATTAATATCGAAAATGACCTGTCAGAATGTCGCGAGGTTTCCCTTGGTGTTCCCCAGGGATCAGTTTTGGGCCCTCTCATTTTCATTATTTTCGTAAATGATCTACCAAGAAATATCAGCTTAGGTTAAATCACTATGTTTGCGGATGATACTACCATAACTGTATCAGCAGCGACCCCAGAGGAGTTACATGAAAACATTAAAGTTACCTATAATGAGATGACGTCTCGATGCCAGTGGAACAGACTCATATTGAACAAAGAAAAAACAGAATGTATCAATTTTTACCTGCGCTGTGCAGTGCCTTCAAACTTCCAGTTGTCTGAAGAATTGTCTTTCATCAAAAATGTTAAATTGTTAGGAACTTTCACCAACTCATGTATGTACAAAACTCAACAAAGCATACTATGCAATATTGCAAATGAAACCCTATTTGGAAGAGAAAGGTATTGTAAACTTGTACTATGCTTTTGTGTATATTCACATTTCATACAATATCATCTCATGGGGCTCATTAGGTGATGGGTACGAGTTTTCTATGCTCAAAAGCGTCTGATTAGACTGGTATTTCAATTAGGAGATAGCTGTAGATCTACATTTGAAAATATGCGAATTTTAACATTGTTAGGTATATTCTTTTTTCTAAACGTACTAAAATTACTGTATTGTATTGTTCTAATATTTTATCTATCTATTTGAGGATGTTTCAATCCAATTTATTTCAATTTAACACTATGTATAAATAATATGACTTGTTCAACACCCTTATAATTGTGGTAATTCATGGATCAATAAAGTTTCTATTCTATTTCTAATATGGTAGTTAATCATTTGTGACTTTTTCGGAGTAACCAGATTGTCAAATATTTCTTATACACCATAACAAAACATCATGTAAATGTTAGCAGCAGACTTGGCAACATGTGTTTAATGCTGAGAACAGACAAGGCAACGTCCACAATCCTCTAGTGTCACTCAATATAATTATCATCAACATGAATTCATTATAAACAATAAGCCAAACCGCATAAGAGGGCAAATTTTAATTAAGAATATTACCAATACAGAATCGAGAATGTTTGAATTATCAAATAAAAATTAATATTTCTGTATTGTGTACTATTGTCTGCCCCTACTTACGAAATCATGATGTCAGTTGTTATTTGCGCTAAATTCTAGCCGTATGAAAATTTCCGTGGCATTATTGGAACTTTAAAATCCAGCGAAAACAATGGGCTTATATCACAAAAAAATTGTATTGCATAACTCGACAGAACTCACCCAAGCTGTGAGCTTCCTACGTTTTATAAAAAATTAATGAAATCCCCGATTGAGAGATCACAGTTGAAAGAATTATTACATCAGTTGCCTCAGTCTCCATCGGGCGTTTGGTATTTTCTTTTAACTATGGCGAGATGAGGTTTCTACGTCATAAGAGGGTCCGTTTTCAGAAGATACTATTATTTATTTCCAAAAATAAAACATTCCAGTTAATTTTTCGATCGAATTATGTCGTCAATCATTATTTATGTATAAAAGGATCATTATAAACAAGGTTTGAGTTGAAAGTTCTACTAAGGTGTACACGCCCATTGAAAAATATGGAATAGATAGGCAGTTGAGAGATGATTCTAATAAAAAAATTAGCCCACTTGCTTATTGAAGATATTCATTTTGATGGAATCAACCCCCTCGTAATCACTTTCCACCAGACAAATCAGCACTTTTATCAACGCAGCTGTAACATTCCAGACCTTCCACGAGATTTACGTCTCCTATTATTAATCATGGTGCATTCATGTATTGTATGCAGAAGGGATCATCTGAATATTTTTTTCCATCGGTAAATAAGGTTATATTGATTTGATAGACACAGGCGCCAAACATCATCAAACGTGCATTGTTGCCAAACAGCCGCCACTGTGCAGTTGTGTCTCTCGCACTGAAAATTGTTCTAAAATTGTTCTATCCGTCATTCGGCTGCCCCCTTACGATCAACCTTCAGAAATATCCACTTATGACGGGGGGCCTTACCTTTCTTGGGCCATCAGAGAAATTTCTGCAGTCGGGGATTTGAACCACAGAACCAGAAGTGACCCATAAACAGTAGCGGCGTTTAAATTTATGGTGAAATATAAATGGCCGCCAGTGGCGTATCTCGAATATGGGATGAAAGTATTATTAAATGAATTTTCGAAAAATCAGAAGATGACTATAGAATTCTGATGGGAAATTTGTGTGATATTAGTAAATAAATATGCTGCTCATTTTCTTGCACTCTTCATGTCTAATCTTATCAATGGTATTCCACTGTGCAAATCCTTCTTCCTCTTCATCTAGAGACTGAAAGGCTATATGCCAATATAAACTTATGTGAATTTTGTTATTCTCTAACCTCGAGAACCCAGAATATTTCTCTTCGTAATGTGGTAGTTCAATTTCAAAATCTGATAAGTTCTTACCTTTCCCCAATAACTTTTTGCAAATGAATCATGAGTTAAAAAGCAATGTGTCTCTTTTCTTTCAGGAGAAAAACTTTTTTCACAAAGTTTCGACAAAACTGTCAAAACCGAATATATTCATATTAAATAACAGATGGGATGCTTCAGCTTCTGAACCTGAATTTTTCGATCAGGTAAATATTTGTGTTTTATATTATTAGTTCTTTTAGTAGGTACGTTACACCCTTATTATTTCAAATTATTCCATGAAATGATATGTGAAAAGTATGGATTGAATGAAATATTTTTCATACAATATTGAATATGCTCAAACTCATGCATTCGTTTTTTAAATTTTAATCCATTGCACTGTTCATACTTCTTTTTTTTTCCAGTGACAAGAATACAATTTTTTGCGAAAATTCGTATACCTACTTAACTTTCTGTTGAACCTAGAGAAATACAGTTTCCTAATTTATATACAGGCTCCCCTATTGTGTGAACAGCAATGTATGAGAAAACATCAATTACAAATACAAACAACAATCAAACAATATGTATATCATTTCAATAATTTCATGATTTTCATCAATTTAAATTTTTGTTATAATCAAAATGAAAATGTTTGAACGCCTATCAATAGATCACCTCACTTACTAGAATTGATATCAATATTCATACAGAATGTAAAAACACTTAGTATTCTGCTGCCACCAGTTACTAAGTGTATTGAAGAAATATTCTGGAAACGTTAAGCAGATGATAAAATTATGCATTTATTGCATTTTCCTAGGAATTAGTATTCTTGTCTACTTTTGCCCAATATTTTTATGAATTCAAAATTATTGATGACTTGTTATCGTCTAAAAAGCATTGCAATGAACAGGAGGAGGTGAGTCATGTTTGTATCAGTCTAGTTATACAAATCAATTCTTCAATTTTCGTATTCAAGAATCTGACAAAGTGAAATTTGAAATGTTTATAATATTTTCTGAAATTTAATTTTTATGTTTAATGAATTATATAAGTCAAAAGTAAATACAGCAAAATAAACAGTTATTAGTTTTGCTTTTAAAAAAATTTCATAGATGAAACCATTTCACTTGATATTCAGTTTTCTTTACTGATTTTTATAGGGTATATACCCCTATTTGAAGTTCATGTCTATTTTACGTAATCTCCAAACAGGTCAGGAAACAGCATCAAGAAAGGGCCCTAGACTTCCTTGTCAAAGAACTCAAGGTCTGTACACAGAAAGAGGCGGATGAAAGAATCTTCTTCACGTCTGCCAAAGAAGTGTTGCAGACTAGAATGCACGACACGAAAAATACTCCTCTTCCTGTCACTGATGGTTTTCAAACTAGGTTGTTCGAATTCCAAGATTTCGAGAAGAAATTCGAAGAGTGCATCTCAATTTCAGCCGTCAAAACCAAATTCGAACAGCACTCGCAGAGGGGGAAGTTCATAGCAAAGTGAGATCTTAAAAATCAATTGACCATTTTGCGCAGAATGTGGCTCAAGTTAGAACTCACTTGGAATATCAAATTCAACATTATTTTATCGGCAACAGGAGGGAAATCTCATGCGCCAAATACAAACCAAAAGTGTCATTTTATAGTATATGTGTGTAATATGTCATGAAAACCTTATTATTGAGGGCTTGCTTTTGTTGATGAATATTTTGAAATTATCAAACAACCTCACTGACCGTTATAAAATAAATGGGGAATAATCATGTTACATTATTTATAGAAATCCCGATATTGAAGAAAAAACCATATCCAATATGTCAAATGCAGCACTCAGCGCAAAATGGTTAGGTTAGGTGAAGATATACGGCATTTTTATTTTGGGGATGTTGATGTTTATCGAATTTTGACTTCATGAACATTTTTAGTCAACTTCGAGACATTTTGGAAGGCATATACAACGACTCGTTGAGATTGAAAGAGGAGAAATTGAAGCAGCGTAAAGAGTTGACCGATAAAATCAACTATACTGAACAGCAACTCATGATCATCACACAGGAAATGAAGAAGAAGATCCATAATATGGTGGAAGATGTAGAACACAGGTGAATTCAGAAAAATTCATATTCATATTGAAAACATAAACATTCTGCTATTCATAATCAATTATATTATCTTGACACGGGTAGGTTACATTTTTCAAAATGGCAAGTCTCAAAAAAATATGTTGGAAACTTACAATTTGAACTATTTCTTCTTTTTGACTACTCTTGATCAGCAATTATCGTAATGGAGAAACGTACACTTTTATAACCATAGTTAAGGATTCACAGAACGAATTTAACTTCATATATTTTCTTATGATGATTATTTGGCACTGGTGAGGTTGGAGGTCATGTCAACTGTAAGTTATTATCGGTTTTTTCGCAATAACGACATTCCTTTACGATACTTCAATAATATTCGTTGAGATGCCTTAACCTTGTATTTGTATACATGAGTAGTCATTACGTAAGGGTAGCAGACGAACACAACTCACGTAAAAACTGAGCAGCATTTGACGAAAGTCACTGCGACGGCGACTCATCAAACGTTACGAGAGCGCACCATCTGATATGGTGCTCTGAAGCGCATTGGACTTTGTTTATGATTAATTTCACGCCGGCACAACAAACCCCTGTACGTTTCAGAGCACATAATACGCTCATTCTCATACCTATAAGTTACAAAGCTCCACGCATTAATTAATCATAACCTCCTTAACGAATATGCAATGTAGTGTAAGTATATGCAGTATGGACCCTGAATAATTAATTGAACACGAATTCGAAATCTGAAGTTTTGAGATAAACATTGCTATATGGTTATGCATGAAAAATACCTCACTAACAATGTTTTAGGAACTAAACATTCCACAACTTGAAATGTTGCTAGATAAAACGTATCATTTTCATTTACTGTGTTGAAGTTGATAAAGCGATTCATATTCTATGTTGATTTCTATTAATCTACATCTGCTTTGTTTTAAACGCATAAAAAGTTTGTAGTTCAACTCGTAGACGAAGATTTCGGTTCGCAAGTTTGGAATATATGTTGTACACTATACTTTCTCTTACAATAGGAGACAAAATAGCATAACGTCAAACTCAATAATACATAATACTTGTAAGTTTGATGTTATCGCAGCTACCGAAGTTACCTGACATTTCTTTATAATTCTATAGTACGGAAAAGATAGCATCTGGTGCAAACTGAAATGATTTTCAATGGCTTGCTGAATCATTCCAATACAGCTGATGATCGAAATGACATTATTTCACACTATTCCACACTCAGCAACATTCCTCCTATTAGTCTTATTCCAATGACAACTACTGTTGTGTGTCAAAAGAGATGCAATCACCTATTGACTGCTCTGAAATGCACTGGGGTTTGTTATGTTGTCCTGCAATTAATCATGATCAAAGTCCAGTGCGTTTCAGAGCACCATATCAGAAGGTGCGCTCTGTGCTGTACAGCCGAACGGCTATTATACGCTACCTGATGGGAAGAGGAATGCCCTATTGGGTGCGTCAGCACACCAATACATCTCCACATGGTATCGGAAAAGGGCAAATGGTTGCCGACATGCTCGGCAGTGTCTCGGGGAACAATCAGCACTATGGGCACAGTATATACCCTTACAGAAAACAGCACCTTACGTGTCCTAAAAATCGCAGTGCGCATGTCCACTCGCGTATGAAGAGTTGGAAAGCGACCCCATCATGGGAATGCCAACGGATGGCGTAATTCCAAAATATACCTTTGAAAAAACTTTTAAAATAAGTATAACGGACAGAGAGGCATGGAAGGAAGGACCTCCTATCAATGCAGACATTGCTGTCTATACGGACGGCTCCAAAACGGAGGAAGGATCAGAAGCTGGTATTTATGGGGCCAAGCCAAAGACAAGAATCTCACTGAGCTTAGGTAAATACGTGACGGTGGTTCAGGCAGAAATTATTGCAATACATCATTGCCTGAAAGAATTGATAAGGCAAGAGTTTAAAGGCAAAACCATTGCAATCTATTCAGATAGCCGGGCGGATATCAAAGCAGTCAACTCTATGCAAGTTAACTCAAAACTAGTATGAGACTGCTTAGAAACCCTAAATGAACTGGGCAGTCAGAACAGACTGACTAGCATGGGTACCAGCACATACAGGGTACGTGGGCAATGAAGAGGCAGACTCACTTGACCGAGCAGGAGCAAAAAAAGCTCTGAATGGCCCAGAACCCTTCTGTGGTATTGCGAAAGCTATACAAAAAACTAGTATCAAATCATGGATGCAAACCAAAACTCAAGAATGGTGGAACAACTCGCCAGGAATGAGACAGACAAAAGAGTTTATTAAAAAACCATCGCCAACATTTACAGAATATCTACTGAGCCAGAAACGAAGTTCAACTAGAATACTAGTGGGACTTCTCACAAGGCATTGTAGGCTCAACAAACACATGAGTACGATAGGTCTGACTGAAGAACTGCTGTGCAGGTTCTGTCAGGAAGAGAAGGAAACAGCAGTACACATACTTTGCCACTGTGAGGGCTTGTCAAGACTAAGGTTCCTTACGCTGGGTGAGGAAAAATCAGGAGCCCAAAGATACAAAGGGGATCTGAAAGCTAGCCTATGGAGTCTCATAGAGAAGGCGGGGCTAGCCGAAAAACTTGAGGGCAGACACAATAGATCTGGACTTCTTTGATGTATATGCCTTTATGATTCAATCTCTAATAGGAACCACGAGTATCACGATTTAGTTATTGTGTCTAGTATTGTTTTGTGAACCACTTATTCCTAATAGCTGGTATAATTATTGTGCTTCATTAATTGTATATGTGAGGTCACTGATTTCTCACAGCTTCATATGGTGATCAGTTTCACTTTTGAGTGCTATTGATATCTGTTCATCGAGCTGTTTATCATTAGAAGATAATGGCTGCCTACTGTCTTATTCGTAGCAAAAATAGTAGGATAAATTGCAGTTTAAGTTTTTTCAGATTGCCAAAAGATCAGCCAAGGCAAGAAAAAGTGTATTCACAGACATATATGATCTGTTTGTTATTCAGTAACATTATTTATTATCATAGTATAAGCACAGTGTGGTATAAACCATGATGTTTAAATCCAAATTTCAATGTTTTTCCGAGTGGAATAGTGGTAAGTGCGTAGAGGCTATTTATTTGCGTGAAGCCGGACCTGTTCTCATGAAATTCAGGAATTTCACAGCATTCCTCATGACGAGAGATTCGTCATTGGCTCGACCAAACCCAAAACGCGCAAGTCTCTGCGTGATGGTATGCTCACTGGCCTGGCAAGAAATAAAACTTGTGGACACCAACATCAAACGTACCGACACTAAGTGAAATTACTGTTTTCCGTATATACTGTGCTATGGGTAAGTGCTGACAAAGATGATACATACACTAGAATCTCGATAGTCCACGATGATGATGAATAGTTGCGCACAGCGGATAATCACCGCTATATTCGTTGCCAACTTAGCGTTGCCCATTCTTACATTTACGGTGCCTATCTAGTGTGTGTATGATCTTTGGTGCTGAGGATCTAAGTCCCGAGATTCGGCGTGTGAGCAGCGCTCAATCTGCTCGTTATGTCTCTAGGGAGACTGTGACTTAGAGTCTCACGGTGGGAAAATCACGTAAAACATCAGGAACATTGAGCCTTGTGTTCCTCAAGTACATTTGGAATATGCACATATGTACATACAGGTACATCGTTACCACATTCCTCATATTTACATAATTTTTATGCATTCTATGTCATTAGGATGACTGATGACCTCCAACTACACTAGTGCCACCATGCGGTAGCAATATCGAACGTTCCTGTGCTATTTCACCGAACAATTCTAAAAATATCAGATGAAGATAATAGTCAGAGTGGGCTCAGTGGGCTGTTTACCTCAGTATTTCTCCCGGTCTCAAATATGTTTTCGCGTCTGTTATTCAACTCACAATTCTTCATTCGTTTTCAATGACTAATCAAATTGACGTTTTTACCGGCGGCTGCGCATTGAAGAAAGCTCAGCTCATAATAATTTTCGCAAAAAAAAAACGTTTAGTGAAATTGTCAGTTATAATACCACAAGAGATTCAATCATCATCCCTTTTCGTGGGAACCAGGACATAAAAATATATTGGAATCAAAGTTATTGAAATTTTTCGAAATGATTTTTTTTTTAATTGAGGAAAAGTAAGACATGGTTGTGTAAACAAATCAAATATATGCATTTTGGGTGTTTCATCATAAAACATCAAAATAATTTTGTCATCAAAGAGATTTTGAGTATGTCCCATTGCAATGGACGTTCAATCGGTATATTTCACAAAGGAAGGAAGGAAGGAATGCTCGAAGTCATATCCACAAATTTTTCTGTCTAATAAAAGACCATCTTCAGCCTAATTGAAAGTTTTGGAGTTGAAAATAAAAATTTATGCTACTGTTTCTTGAATTGTTGTGGATGCCCATAGTTCAGAATTCCTTACTTAATACTTAATGAGAAAACGGGTTCTCAATACTCAATTTTTCATTAAGTATTTGAATTCTGAACTGTGGGCATCGACAACAATTCAAGAAACAGTAGATATATCGAAAACTGGAACCTTTAGCACGATAATACACTACACTGTTTTACCACTAACCAAACCAATTTTTTTAAATATGGTAGGTTAGATAAATCGTGTGTAGCCGAACAAATGTTCATTCACAATCATAACACATATATTACTAACCTCAAATTAGTTAAGAAAGTTAATAATATCAGAAAATTAGACGCATATGAAAGCTTAGAGATATTTAAGAATAGTAATAGAGTAATAAATAAGGATAATGGACCTATTCCACATAGCCCTCTATATAGTTTAATAATATAAAAATTAAGATTAACATGTGAACGGTTGGGTGAACATATACCTAGTATATAAGCAGCACACTACAATAGGTTATTTAGTTTCAATCTTCTCCTGAAGATGCTAACATAGTTAGCGAAACACGTGTCGAGGCGTTTAAAAAATAAGTTTGGTTAGTGGTAAAACATTGTAGTGTAAGAAACAGTAGCATACAAAAAAAAATTCTTTGAACTTCAAAACTTTCTCAACTGAAGATGGTCTTTTATAAGACCGAAACATGTCCCTTATGATTATGTAACAACATTATTAAAACTTGTGGAGATGACTTCGAGCATTCCTTCCTTCCTTCCTTTGGAATATTCCACTCCACTTTGAGCAATATGGACTTCTACCAAACGGTATATTTTACTTTCTTACTTTCTATAGAGTCTCCAAAGCCCTGAACGAAGAGATTCGCCGCCTGAGCACGCTCGTCGACGAGTTCAACCTGCCCTTCCACTCGGACTCTTTGGTCCTCAACGTGTACAAGAAGGAGCTGCACCTGCACGTGGAGACGGGGCTCGGGTCGAATCTGCGCGCCCGACTGTCGACTGCGCTCGCCCTCAACATGGAGGCCAGCCAGCGGGAGATGACGGAAAGGATGGAGACGCTGATACCGGATAACCGCAGAGTGGTGAACAATGTGGTGGTGCAAAGGAAGCAACCGTTCGAGATACTGTATAGGCTGAATTGTGATAATCTGTGTGCCGATTTTCACGAGGATTTAGAATTCAGGTATGATATCATTTATCATTGTATTTTTCTTCTGTTTTTGTTTACGTTTTTGGTTATCGGGAGTTTTTCTAAGTCGATTTTGGGTCGTTTGGTTGATGGTGTTTGCATGTTTGTTGTGAATATGTTTATAGGAACACACTTAATCGACAATGAAATTGTACCTAGATGTTGCTATTAATCTGTATATCTTGGTATTCCTAATGATGGGATTCTTCAAGAACTATTTCTAAAAACTCCTGCAATAGATTAAAAGTTAAACATGTTCTCCCATAGTTTTAAATGTCATCGTAACGTGATCTAATGACCTTGGCGGCCGCGAATAGAATATATTTGATCTGAACTATTACTATGTCAAAGCTTGGTATTATCCTCAATTTCTGCGATGGATTTTTAACCGTTGCGACATCATAAAAGTTCTCATTGATTTGCAGTCGAATGTTCATATACATTAAAAAGTCACCCTCACACTTCCTGTTCATACTCTGTACAGTTCTCACTCATTGTATATAATGAAAACAATTGCCGATTTTGACGAAGATCTGGAGTTCGGGTATGATATTGACGATATTGTCATTGTCTTTCATGAGAAGAAATAAGTGTTTGCTATCTAGTTGTGCTAATATGTTGTATAATTTATTTTTGTGTTCCCGTTTACCTTCTTGGCTATAAGGTGTTTTTTTCTTATTAATTTTTGTTAGTAATTTATATCGTTAATTTGGTAGTTTTTGTTATAAATAATCACAAGGTGATGAATAACATGGTAGTGCAATGGAAACAGCCGTTCGCGATGCTGTATAGGCTGAATTGTGATAATCTGTGTGCCGATTTTCACGAGGATTTAGGATTCAGGTATGATATTGTAATTGTATGTTTCTTCTGTTTTTGTTTACGTTCTTGGTCATCGGGAGTTTTTGCGAATCGATTTTTGGTCGTTTGGTTGATGGTGTATTGGAATTGTACCTAGATGAAGCATTTTTCAAAACTCCTGCCATAGATTTAAGTTAGACATGTTGTCCCGTAGTTTTTAATGTCATCTTAACGTCATCTAATGACCTTGGCGACCGCAAATAGAATATTTGATCTGAACTGTTACTATGTGAAATCTTGGTATTATCCTCGAATAATTTCTGAGATGAATTTTCAGCCGTTCCGACATCATAAAAGTTCTCATTGATTTGCAGTCGAATGTTCATATGCTGAATACACATTAAAAGGTCACCCTCACACTTCCTGTTCATACTCTGTACAGTTCTCACTCATTGTATTCAGGGTGTTTCTTCAGTACGTGTAGAAAATTCAGAAGCATGTTGCTGACGTCAAAATAAGAAGAAAAGTTCGTATTAATATATGTCCGAAAGTTATTCGCTTCTGAGATACAGAGTGTCAAAGTTGAATTCTTATTTTTGTTTTTTGTTGATAAATTCCAATATAATTGTGATATTCGAACAAAGTTTGGTATCTAGGGGTATTTTTCAAGTACAATATCAAATTTTATGTTAGTTTGTCTCTTTCGTGGGGGTGGCGCCCTCTACATGTCTTTTGAGTCTTTTGAAAAGTTATAACTTTTTTGTTTTGTACCTGTATCACGTTTTATAGTAGAAAAATAGATTTCTAGAACACTTTCCTGTGAAAAATATTTTCCTGGTAGAGGTCGGTGAGAGCAACTGTTTTTGAGCTAATTGGGATTTGAAATTATCGATGCATTTGAATTATTCCCATGGGGCTCGTAAGGTGTCTGAATGTCTGGTGATTCGGCAGTAGATATTAGGGAATCTTTCATTTGATTGTTATTTTTTCAAATTGGAAGAGTCCAAAAAAGTAGATGCAAAGAAGTAAGAATCATCTTTTGCTGATATTACAATGTTGAATGTAGGAGAATATTGAATGAAAGAAGAAACATGCACTGGCGTATCTTTCCTGATATTTACTACTCAGAGGCGACTAACGAGCCCCATGAAAATAATTCAAATGCATCGATTATTTCTAATCCCAATAACTCGAAAACAGTTGCTCGCAGCGACGTCTACCAAGAATATATTTTTTACACAAAAGTGTTCTAGAAATCTAGTTTTCTCCTATCAAACGTGATACAGGTACGCACAAAAAAGTTATGACTTTTCAAAAGATTCAAAAGACATATAGGTGGCGCCACCCCCACGAAAGAGACAAACCAACATAAAATTTGAGAGTGTCATTGAAAAATACTCCTAGATACCAAACTTTATTCGAATATCACAATTATTTCGAAATTTATTAAGGAATCAAAAATATGAATTCAACTTTGATACTCTGTATCTCAAAAACAAAGAACTTTCGGACATATATTTATACGAACTTTTCTATTTATTTTGACGTCAGCAACATGCTCCTGAATTTTCTACACTTACTTAAGAAACACCCTGTATAATGAAAACAATTGCCGATGTTCACGAAGATCTAGAGTTCGGGTATGATATAGATGATATTGTCATTGTCTTTCTCTAGAAGAACTGCGGTAGATAGTAGTTGTGCCAATTAGTTGTATAATTTATTTTTGTGTTCCCGTTTACCTTCTTGGTTATAGGGTGTTTTTTTTAAATTAATTTTCGTTACTAATTTATATCGTTAAGTTGGTGGTTTTTGTTATAAATAAGGGAGCAGCCGTTCGAGATACTGTATAGGCTGAATTTTGATAATCTCTGTGCCGATTTTCACGAGGATTTAGAATTCAGGTATGATATTTTCATTGTATTTTTCTTCTGCTTTTGTTTACGTTCTTGGTTATCGGGAGTTTTTTTAATCGATTTTGGGTCGTTTGGTTAATGGTGTTTGCATGTTTGTTATGAACATGTGTATAGGTACCTACTTAATCGACAATGAAATTGTACCTAGATGTTACTGTAAATCTGTATATCTTGGTATTCCTAATGATGGAGTTCTTCAACAACTATTTTTCAAAATTCGCGGCGCCTATTGTGTATGCTGAGTTGTGATAATCTGTTTGCCAATTTGCAAGAAGATCAGGATTTCAGGTATGACATTGTCATTGTCGTTCGCGAGAAGGATTTAGCGTTTGCTATTTGGCTGTGTTAAGTGGTATAATTTATTTTAGTATTTCTGTTAACTTCCCTGGTTGTTGGGTGTCTTTGTCTTTTATTAATTTTTGTCAGACCTAGATGTAACTGTAAGTCTCTATATTTGGGTCTTCCTATTGACGCGATTGTCAGTTAGCTCATCCCAAACAATGGTAAGGTGATGATTCGAGATATTTGATAGGCTGAATTGTGATGATCTGGGTGCCGATTGTCACGAGAATCTGGAGTTCAGGTATGATATTGTCATTTGTCATTCGCCATCTGCGAAGTGGTTTAATTAATTTTTGTGTTTTTCTGTTAGTTATTGAGTTTTTTTATCAATTTTGGTAATCAATTTATATTCTTTGGACGGTGGTTTTTGTTATAAATATGTGTATATGTACTTTCTTAATAAACAATGAAGTTGTACTTGAATGTACCTTACTGTTAGCTCTGAACATGGAGGTCAGCCAGAGGGAGATGACGGAGAGAATGAAAACGCTGATACCGGATGATCGCAGGGTAGTGAACAACGTGGTGGTGCAAAGGAAGAAGCCGTTCGAGATACTGTTTTGTTTGTTTTTTTATCAATTTCGGTCAGTAATTTCTATGGTTCGGTTGGTGGTTTTTGTTATTAATATGTGTGCACATGTAATCAACGATGAAGTTGTACTTGAATGTAACTGACTGTGAGCTCTGAACATAGAGGCCAAATGATAGAAACTGCATCCTTCCTTCAAGAGTTAGGGTCGAAGATCAGTGGTCTAGTCGAATTTACGCTACATACCTATTTTATATTGATCATTCTGTGTATAAATAGTATTCTATGCCATCATTCATTATTCAAAATCTTCGCAGATATATTTTTTTCAATAATGAAATTCGGCACCTTCGCCAGCTTCGATGAACGTCATGAACCGAACCGAAAGTCATCGTAATCTGAATTCTGGCATTCACATGAAAAGTAGGATCACATATTTCGGCGCTACCAGATTTTTTACTAGACCAATGACAACAGTATTTACATTCACAGAAGACAATAGTTCGACCTGGTCCCTAATAATCACTTACTGAATACTTATACAGGGTGTCAATTTGAAAACTTCCCACCCTCAATATCTCCCTCCAAGTCGATAATATGGAAAAACGAAAAGACAGGTCGATTTTATTTTCGAGGGGGACACTTCGAATGAATCATTTTGACCCTCATGGTTCAACCCCCTAGGAGGGGTAGATGTTACCCTCAGAATATGAATAGGGAAGAGGGGTCAAGTGGCACATCATTTTGAAGGGCGTTCAATTCTCTTTCCAACGGTACCCTACTTTACTATTTTTTGACGAGCAATTTCTGAAAAATAGCGTTCTAAACCTACAGAAGTGATCTTAACTTGCCTGCACAAAGATGCATGATTTTCAGGTTAGTATTCGAACAGAGATTTTTGTATTGATTCTCCTTTCAGTAAAACTGGACAGGAAAACAGGTAACAACCTCACATCTTTTCAACAGGGGCAACATAATTAGCCATCAGCTCCAATAAATCAACATCAATAATCTAATAGTGACATTTCGATGATAGCTTATTTGCGTTTATCATTGGATTTTCAATTCTACAGATGGCCTTCCTTTTTTGTTCCTTTCTTGCCACTGCTGATTTAAAAAAACTCTGTTTTTTGAGCAAAAAATTGTTCAGCAAATTCAAACGATCTGGTAGTATTATTGATTGATGAGTTTTATTTGTTGAGCTAATCAGTAATACGTTTATTCAGAGTAGGTACCTATAATTGTGAAAACGGTTTACACTCTTTCAAATAGAACTGAAATGATTGTGATTTATGGAGAGGCTGGAAAGTGCGCACGAAGAGCGGCATTTCTTTTTAATGAAAGAAATCCAGATTGTAATGTTAGTCACCGGTATGTGCTTGATTTGGTGGAAAAGTTTTACGAAACTGGTTCGGTGAAAAATAAAAAAAGGAATAATCCTAGAGTACTGAATGAAGAAGCTCAAATTGAAGTTTTGGGAACATTTGCTGCAGAACCTACTAGCTCCTTACGTTCAGTGGCAGAACAGACGGGAATGTCACACGAGACTGTGAGAAAAGCACTGAAATTACATAAATTTCATCCATATAAGATGCAGATTCTTCAAGAGCTCCATGAGGAGGATTATGATAGAAGAATAGAATTTTGTGAAACGATGTCAAATCGAGTCAATGCCATCCCTAATCTATTATTAAATATCTGTTTCAGCGATGAATGTTCATTTTTTCTGAATGGAAATGTGAATAGACAAAATTGTCGCTATTGGAGTGACGAAAACCCTCACATTTTTCGAGAAGGACATACACAACAACCACAAAAAATTAATGTTTGGACTGGTATTCTTGGAAATGCCATTGTTGGTCCTTTATTCATTGAAGAAAATTTGACTGGAAATCTGTACCTAGATATGCTTGAAGATACTATCGATCCTCTTATAACTCACGAGCTAGAAAATCAAATTGATGCAGCCCCACCTCATTATTTTCTTCCTGTCCGACAGTGGTTAAATGACAGATTCCCGGATAGATGGATTGGCAGAAGGGGAGCAACTGAGTGGCCTCCGAGATCACCGGATTTGACTCCTTTAGATTTTTTCCTTTGGGGACATCTTAAATCCGTCATTTACAAAACACAACCGACGGATATTGATGAACTCAAAGGACGAATTACAGCAGCATGCCGCTCGATTCGTGGTGAAGTTTTCCAGAATGTTAGAGAGGAGTTCGAAAACAGACTTTATTACTGTTTAGAACAAAATGGACAACATTTCGAACAGTTTATAAGATAGTACGTGAATAGATGTTTGAAATTTCTATCTGGCACTCTGAAAGTTTTTTTTCAAAGTAATATAACCAACAAACAAAAAATCAAACGTGTGTAGACTAGATTCATTTCTATTGTAACGATGCCACCTAACCTTCTAACCATTTTCATCAATGGAAGATTCAAAACAATAATTTTCGTCCTGAAGACAATGTATCTGAGTTAAGGCAAGTTCTAATCACTGGTTATCAAAAAATAGTAAAGTAAGATATACCGTTGAAAAGAAAGATATTATGTTGCCCCTGTTGAAAAGATGTGAAGTTGTTACCTAATTTCCTGACTAGTTTTACTGAAAGGAGAATCAATTCAAAAATCTCTGTTCAAATACTAACCTGAAAATCATGCATCTTTGTGCAGGCAAGTTTAGATCACTTCTGTAGATTTAGAACGCTATTTTTCAGAAATTGCTCGTCAAAAAATAGTAAAGTAGGGTATCGTTGGAAAGAGAATTGAACGCCCTACAAAATGATGTGCCACTTGACCCCTCTTCCCTATTCATATTCTGAGGGTGACATCTACCCCTCCTAGGGGGTTGAACCATGATGGTCAAAAATATCAATTCAAAGTGTCCCCCTCGAGAATAAAATCGACCTGTCTTTTCGTTTTTCCATATTAACGACTTGGAGGGAGATATTAAGGGTGGGAAGTTTTCAAATTGACACCCAGATGCTTAAGTACCAATATGAATATCCTAGTATTCCTAATAATGATCGAGATTTTATTTGAACCCAAATTATTTTGTGGCCCTTGCAACAGCGTAATGCATAGTTTTCTGGAAATTCAAGAAGAGAAGAAGAAGACGAACTACATTGTCATCCTAACTTCCTAACGTCAATATCGTTTGTCACCTTCATCTTCAAATCCGTGTTTCATCTAGTCAAGATGCAAACATTCAAAGATAAACCTCAGATCATCTGATTCTTCGGTGGTGTGTCGTGTTCTCTGTTATCTGCAGTAAGTAATCACTTTAAGAAATGCATTTCTCATTTTGATGATAATCAGAAATGGTCTTGCCCTTGTTTGGGAAAAACACGGTTCATGACAGCGGACTAGTTAGGGTTTGTACTTCGAAATAATGAAATGAATTGTTTCACTGAAACAGGCCCATTGGAGGAAGTCTCTAAAAGCTCCTCGAACAGAAATAGATTTCCTAGGCATCGTTTGGAATTCAAAAAACAACACAATTTGTCTTCCCGCTTTTTTCATCAATTTATTTGTGGTTATGTCTGATTGTCACTGCTTGTCTAGTGTCCGTACTCTAATATACAAAAAACATCAAAACAGCAGTGTCAAGTACGTTTAGGAACTCTAATTAATACCATCCAGTGACTATGTAGTGTGTTCAACCCCATTGACGGCTATGCCGATTGAACACTCCTCGTCTCTATTCAATCCCGGTGGTACTAACCCAATCGTTATTCCAGATTCTCGTGGGGCATAACCACCCTCATCCAGCGGTACGCAGGCTCCGGCGCCAGCTTCCTCGCCCTGAAAACCGAACGCGACGACCCGCACCGCGGCGCCGTGATGCCCACGACGCCGACCGACGCTATGGACGGCCGCCTGGCTTTCCGCCCGTCGGTGGCGATCGACGATTGGTCGCTGCTGTCCCGGCTGGCCATCATGGGCGCCTCGTCTCAGGGCACGATGGGGTGCATGCTGGTGGCCGGGTTCTTGTTCAAGACGATCGGGTGGCGGGTGGTCGCCGTTACAGGTAAATCGCGTTTTTGCATAAAAGAAACTACCAAAGAAGGGAAGTGTTGTATTTCGTGCGAGATAATTTATTCAAATTAACTAAATTAACTATACTGGTCAACATTGATAACGTCGTGGTCCAAAATATAGTCTGACTTCCAAGTAGAATAACTCACGAATTTCTTCACCAATTTCGAATCGGTTTCCACCGATGATTAGCCTAATCTCTTGACAGTTCATTGTGGCAATATGAAACTTCTGTAATTTCATATAACATTGCTACAAGGTGATAATTGAATGGGTGTGAAATTGCATCGTGGTCTTCATCTTACCGTTCGAACAGATATATTTTTTTTTATCACCTGTATCCTCTTGATTGATGCTTTCTCTCGAAACGTTTTCGGAATTTTCAGATTCAGAGCTTTGATAATCGTAATGATGCATTTTTTCGACGATTAATTGAATGAAATTGAAAGTTGGGATTCTTTTTCGAAGAATCAACCTTGTATGTTGGACATACTGAGTTCCGCCTTTCTAGAGAAAATACAGGCTTGAGTTTTGGTGGCGTTGAATTCAACTAGGTTGTTGGTTCCCCAGGCTGTGATTTCAGCAAGGTCTTCATTGACAGCATTGACCTGCCTGCGCCGTGAGTTCTTAGTTTCCTGGGAAGAAATGGGAATTCTGGAAGAGAACGCAGTATGGAGGGTACTATCATCTGCAAAGCTGTGAATGGGGCAAGTTGTTACTCCCAACATATCATTGATATGAAGAAGGAATAATGTTGGTGCCAAAATTGATCCTTGTAGAACGCCGGAATTGATGCCAATGGTATCAGACGATACACCGTCCACCACCAGGTGAAGCGATCTGCCTGAAAGAAAACTTGATAAGAGATGGCATAGCTGAGGTCGAATGCTTTCGATATGTCCAACGCGACAGCTAGAGATTCCCCGTGTTTTTCTAATGAAGCAAATCCTTAAATGGCCAGGTTCTTGTTCCCTTTTTTGGGGATTGACTCCAGCTGTCTTCCAGCATGAGGGAAAAATACTCGACCTGTACGAGACGGTTAACAACTTGCAGAGAATCGGTGTTAATTCTGGTGCACATTTTTTGAGGATAATGGGTGGAATTCCATCAGGACCGTTAGCCTTATTCGTTTTGAGACCAAGCAAAATTCGGCTGATAGTGCGTTGACGGAAGACGATTTTGGGCATTCGACTCTCAACGGGTGGAATGTCTGGCGGCACTTTTCCTTGGGAATCTGAAGTAGAGTTTGCCGCGAACATCTCTGCAAAAATATTTGCTTTCTCCTGCGATGTTGTTGCTAATATGCCGTCGGATTTGGACAGTGGTGGAAATGAACTATTAGTGAAATTTCTTCCGACCGCTTTAGCAAGGGACCAAAACGAACGGGAGCCATTGGGACAATCTATGAGTTTCGATCTTATCTTGGCATTGTATGTTTCTTTCGAAGCATCTATTGTTTGGCTGCAGTTATTCCTGGCATCAACGTATTCTGCTCTAGTCGCGAGGTTAGGGTTTTTGCGCCAGCGATGGTAGGCTGTTTGTTTCAAGGCAACAGTTCTTGAACAGTTTTTGTGGAACCAGGGTTTCGATGGTGATGATCTTTTCGAAGAATTAAGTATGTATGTGTCCATTCCGAGCATGATGATCTCGGATATCTGCAGCACACTGTGAAGGGTCCTCAGAGTCAAAGTATTCTCTATGCCGAGGAAACTCGGAGAAAAACATGCGGAGACCCTCCCAATCTCCTGAATTGCGATTACCCATATGTGCTACCACCCAAGCAATCATACACTGAACTCAGTTATTGGGCTGTCATGACATTCAGGCAGCTTACTTGATATTTAGCCGTTATTGGTTCTAGCAACCCTGACCTCATATTTGGGTGGTGCGGTTTGGTGAACAATAAATAATGTTGGTCCTCATTCTGGTTAATCATAAAAATGCATATGAATATGTGTAACGGCTCTATATAATTAAAATTATTCAATATTTTCCTTTGTCAATCTGATTTTATTTTAATTTCATTTTGTTGACAAGAAACTAACAAACTAAAAAACAATTCCCCGTCTTGACCCCTAGATACCTTCTTGATTGCGACGGGTTGTCTACAGGGTCTTCTTGTGAACCACGACATTTCTCCCCCCGGTGAAGAAAGTCTATTATTCTTCACTCAATGTCTTCGGTTCTATAGCGACTTCAAGGTCCAGACGACACAGTTTAGTTACTGGACGACGATAGGTATTCTTCTGGGTTTGAACATCTGCTACTCTGACGATTCCATCGGGACCTGGATAGACTCTCGATATTTTCCCCAGTTGCCGATTGTTTCTGGGAGAGTTTTCATCAACTATCAGGACAATGTCATCAGATTTTAACGAGACTTCATTATCTGTCCATTTTGCATTTGCGTTTTTTTTCCAATTTTTTCGTGTATTGTTTCCGACATCAACTGTTGAATCTACGGCATTTCCGTATCCGATTAGGAAATGATTCGGTGTTAAAGCCTCTGGATCATTGGGAGCGACATGTTCTCCTTCGTCTGCACAATTTATCAAAAACTTGAATGCTCAAGAAGTAGGTACCCCAGATATCGCCGCAACAATCGAGCATAAGTTCTATGTAGATGACTTTTTGGACTCGAAATATACTGAGCAAGAGGCCTTAGATATGATCTCTGAGGTGAAGAGGGTGATGCTACTCGGAGGATTCGAGGTAGTAAATTGGATCACAAGTTCACCAGTGGTTCGGCAAGCTCTACCCAAAGAAGATTTGGCTGAAATGAAAATGATTTCAGAATATACGAACATGCCGGTACAAAGAGTTTTAGGAATTTTGTGGAATCCTGAGCACGACAGCTTTGTTTTTAGGATTAAGCATGAGGTAGGAACAAACGTTGATCAGATGACAAAAAGAAAAATTCTAAAGATGGTAATGTCCATATTCGATCCTATAGGATTCCTCTCGCACATTATTATCGGTGCAAAAATATTGCTACAAGAGATTTGGCGATTGGGGATACAGTGGGATGAGAATCTACCAAACAGGATCAGAAAGAGTTCGGAGCAAATGTACTAAAATAATTTTTACAAAAAAAAAAAATTTAAAAGTGTAAAAATTATTTTAATACATTCGCTCTGAGCACCCGGTATTTTCATATTCACCTTTCCGTACGTAATAAGATACGCCCTCTTCCAATTTCGACGAAATAAATAGGAGTATGTGAACATTATGAGATTACCGTAAGCCGCAAGGCATCAAACAATAACCAGTACTTTTCGAATTATCTTAAAAACAAATAATTTTATCGGAATTTTACAAAAATCAAAAAATACTCAAAAATGATTGAACACATGAAGAAAATCAGATAGGAAGTCATTAGCGCACGTACAAAAAAAATATGGGGGTAAGTGTGTACTTGACCCCCAGTATTTTGAATATTTGACAGTTATTTTCTGTTTTGTTTTCCTCACACGATGTAACTCTTTGTGCTGAAGTAATGTACCTATTTTGAGATTAGAAAAAAACAGTTTTTAATTTTCAACTTTGACACCCTGTATATCGAATAAGAAGGACTAAAATGAAAAATGGTATTTAGAAACTCATATTATTTTTGTTCAAGGAATATATGGTTAATGGATTGACCTCCTTTTAGCGGACACCCTGTATAATTAAAATTATTCAATATTTTCCTTTGTCAATCTGATTTTATTTCAATTTCATTTTGTTGACAAGAAACTAACAAACTAAAAAACAATTCCTCGTCTTGACCCCTAGATACCTTCTTGATTGCGACGGGTTGTCTAGAGGGTCTTCTTGTGAACCACGACAATATGTATCATCAGTATGCAAATATGTAAATAATAAATAAACCATTATTATTATTATTAATTCGTCATCAGTTCAGTAGCCCATTGCTAGTAATTCACTCCACTGAAAATTCGATCCTTTCTGTCCCTGTATGATATGATGAGAAGCCGGGTCACAAGAAGACGGTAATGAGTCAGGTATTCATAATAATAAAATATTCAAATTGATCAAAGAATTCAACAGAAAATCGTTGTTCCTTGTTTCTCTAAGTTTGTTGCTGTGTGTATTTTTATTGACACTTCACCTGTTTGGTTGAATATATCTATCGTATCTCTCGTTTCAGGCGCAATTTACAGCTGCCTCTACCTGTACGAGCGCCTCACGTGGACCAACAAGGCGAAAGAGCGTTCCTTCAAAAAGCAGTACGTGCAGCACGCGACGCGCAAACTACGCATGATCGTCGACTTGACGTCGGCCAATTGCAGCCACCAGGTAATAATAATATTCATAATAATTATAATATGCGCTGTTATCTGAAGGGGAATATTGTTGACAAAGCTAGGTCAGATAATATTGTAAAAAAGTAGTTGATTATGAAAACAAAAATACTGGAAAATATAGTCAAATTTTGAATTGACTTGACCGTTACTTGATGAAAATCCATGGCAAATGTAAAAATTTCACTTTAGTGAGTTCAAGAATTTTGTGGAAATTTTATGGTTTGTGAAGTTTTCACAAATATAGTCAAAATAAATACCACATTGAAATACTAGAATATCGGCAATAAGGCCTATCAGATAGGAATATTTTGACTTCCATCAGCAATACTTTTCCATGGGAAAATCATGTGCGATCCATCGCCACAGCTGCTTGACTAAAACTCGTTTTTTTTTTTCGTGCTTAATTCTACTTCACACCTCAATAGCTTCACATGATCAACAAAGCACAGATACGGCCAGATTATACTGTTCTCACATATGGGGCTCGGCACCCAAACATACGCTGAAGCTCTCATATATCACCCAGAGAAGAGCCATTCGCATGGTGGGTTATGCCACAATCACTAGTTCTTTGACCTCATTAGATTGTTTTTTTCATTTGATATTTTATGCACTCACCGGAAAAATAAACCGGCCACCCAAAGATTGTTCACACTGTAACTTTTTTAATCCTTGTCGGATTTTTGTGAAATTAAGATCAAATCGTAGGTTCATGTTACGGAATTGTAGCCTAAATATTAGTTTTCCTGAACAGCTGATGACTTGATCATTATACAGGAAAAAAACAAAGTTACTCTTTCACCCTATACTTCTCAACGCCCTGTGTCAAAATTGCTTGATTGAACATGGCTTCATTATGCTTCGGATTGAAGTGTGATCCCTTCTCAACACAAAAGTTTTTGATTCACGTCAATATCTTATTTTTAAAAGAAGATACGAGTGTTTTAAGGAAGTATGGTGTTTTTCAACTTTTTTTACCAATAATCAGAACTTACATGAACTTATTGATTAACAACTTCAAGGATAAATATCACATATTCCTACTTCACTTTCCTAGCGCTTACCGGAAAATCAATGACAAAAAACAAACAAGAAGCAGACCTGTTGTCAATAACGAGTATGCTCTCCTCGATATTGAATTACAGCATTCAACTCCAGTGGCATCGAATTGATCAAATTACTCAAGTAGCCTTGAATAATTGCCTTAAATCCTCCTTGCAGGGCGAATCGTAGCTCTTGAAGAGTATCTGACAAGGCTGGGCGAAGGCGAATGAGCCTCTAGGGGTCACCCCTAAGATAGGTAGATAGGTTCTGAATTATTGTTATTTAAAACTTAAAAAAATCTATACTTCCTTGAAACACTCGTATCTTCTCTCAAAAAGGAGATATTGACGTTATTCAAGAACCGTTGTATGAAGTAGGAACAAAAGAGGACCACACTTAAATTTAAATCATGATGAAGCGAAAGGTTGGAGAATGGTTCTGAATCATTGTAAATAAAAATTTAAAAAAATCCATACTCTCTTGAAACACTTGTATCTTCCTTTAAAAAGTGGTTATCGACGTGAATAAAAAACCATCATGTAGAGTAGAGATCACTCTTCAATCTAAAACATAATGAAACTAAGTTAAACCACTCACCTTTCCCACAGGGCGTTTAGACGTTAAGGGTGAAAAAGTTACTTTCGTTTTTCCTTGTATAATGATTGAGTCATCAGATGTTCTTAGGGACTAATATTCAGGCTAACATTTGGAAACATGAATCTACGATTTTGTGGGAATTTCACCAAAATCGGACCAGAATTGAAAAAGTTACAGAGAATAGTTATTTGTTTAACTAGGCAGCAAAGTAGTAGATTGACTGCCGTGGCTGAATTCATAGCCGAGCGTAGCGAGGCTAGGAATCCAGCTAAGGCAGTCAATCTACCTTGCTGCCGAGTTGAACATATAATTTTTTCTCCGATTGTTCATAATGATATGGGAGAATATTGTATTTGCGAATTAATACAATTCCCACAATCTCTTTATTCTTCCTGTATAGTGTTAATTGAAATAAAATTTGATAGAAATCGCAGTTGTTGGTTTGACAATTCATGAAATTTCTGACAGTTGTGCGAAAAAATATCGGTATATTCAAATTATTATATAATGGACAGTGATAGCGACCTAGAAGTATACTTACACCTCCATTAATAAGGGAGGTGGAAAAAAATATAGAGTTGAATTTGTTGCCGGAGAAGTCTCGGAAGAAATATGAAGGAAATTATAAACGATTTATGGATTTTTAATTTTGCTGATCCATATCAATCAGCAAAGTGACCACTTTGCTGCCTAGGCAGCAAAGTACCCACTTTGCTGCCTAGGCAGGAAAAGTAATACTTTGCTGATTGATATGTGTCAGCAAAATTAATATTTGCTGCCAATCGGAGGAAAAAAAATTTGGCTAAATTATTTGGTGGCCGATTTTTGTTTGCCGGTGAGTGTATAACGACTAGAGAATACATAGAAAGAGCATATTTGAGAAGATTATCGGATATTGATAAGCAACAAAAATTATCGACATTAACCACGAAAGAATACCAATTTGGGGTACAAAATTATATCATGTGCTCATATGTCATGTGCTCATGTGTGCTGTATATATTCATGTTGGGAATCATTTTTGCAGTTTTTCAGGAACACTTAATATTTCCTGAATGTAGGTATGATTTTTTAAATGGTAGGGCATATGCATATTAATCCTCAGTTTTAATCAAAACTGTTTCTACTGAAATGCATTCAAATACTTGTAATTATAGGCACAATGAGAAAGTATAATATGTGATTTCGCATTAGTTTTACCTCGAATATTTTGCTGATGTATTTACCAATTTTCCTCTTTCGATCACTTCACTTTCCATGTTTTAAGTTCAATTGCATTTGATGGAGAGCTGACAAATTTAAATTTGCCGTCCAACTGATTGATACAGTCTAACGCAGCACATTTTACCATCCTTCCAGAACAGAATTGAATAATGTCGTATTAAAAGATAAAGTATGAAATTAAAATTTTGTAAGATGTCTTTTAACGCCTATGAATGTGACGTGACAGCAATGTCATGTCAGGGAAGCCAATACACGAACCCAAAGTCACTAGATGATTAAAAGAGAAAGGAGCTATGATCTGTCCGTACCCTGTTAGATGACAAAAAATACGTCAGTTTGCATCAAGAGACCCTAGGTACAGCTAGTTATCAATAGATAATAATATAATCCACTAACTTTATACGTCAAATCCGGTAGTTCTGATTTTTTGCTGACTTGTTCATGATGTTGACCTTATGAATAATCCAAGTTTGTGACCTTGAACGCCGAACGCAACTTTGTCAAAAATCGAAAAAACTGCGAAAGAATCGTTTTTTTCAGTTTTTGACGATTATAACCCTAAAGGGCTAGTTTTTGAAAGAAACTCTTCCAGAACGTTTTTGAAGCAGGCCAAATTTGCTACAATATGATATAGAAACTGTCTCTGTAGACTCATTAGTTTCCGAGATTGAGCCTTTCAAAGTTTATAATTTTTTTCGAACTTCGCAATTTTTCGCAATCCTGTCGTTCTAATTTGACCCTGATTATACAATCGAAGCCCTGTACTTTCATGATGAGATGATAAGAAAGAAAATGAGGAGTGTGAACGAGGATGTTTAAGCTGAGCTACGAATAATGAAATAAAAAAGATAAGTACAACAAAAGTTAATGAGTTTATTTGTTAGGAAATAGAGTAATTGTAAAGATCAAAAAATTAGATAAATTTGGCCCTGTTGGAAGGTTCCGGTTGAGGTTCGTCTGGATCTGGATCGACGTATTGGGATGGCATATCCCCATCAGGGGATGGTGATGAATCGTCAACGTCTTTTGCCCAGAAGTCATCGTCCAATTTCAACATCGGACATATCGTCGCCTTCTGGGATATCTACTACTACAACATCAGGTACTTTGTCACAAGAGCTTGGTGGATTTTGGAAAACTTATAGAGTATTGTTTTATTCAGTTTTGGTTAGATTTATTGTGAATAATGAAAACTCAATATGATTTTAAAGTTAAAACGCGGGTAACGTGTATTGTGGTGGATAGTGGAAGCCGTGCAGGTCGGGGAAATTTGCTTAGTTTTTTCACATTCCTATTGGGATTCTGTGAAAAACTCTGAGCATTATCCACAGATAAAAGATCTATCAAGAATAAGAAGTGAAATGTGGATAGCAGCCATCAAGAGGAAGGATCTAACAACAGAATCAATCATGAGAAACCAAAGGATGTGTATATGTGCTATCTTGCCAACTGATAAGTCCCGTGGTTTAGATTGCCTGAAAAGTTTGAAACCGTGCTACAGGTGGGTCGCATTCGTGACTTCACACGAACAGTACTAACACACTCCGTCGGAGGTAATTGAAACTTCATCCCGCTAGAGTATATTCAAGTGACTCCTAAAACATTGCAAAAAATTGCGAAGTTCGAGAAAAATTATAAACTTTGAAAGGCTTAATCTCGAAAACTATTGGGTCTACAGAGACAGTTTTTGTATCATATTGTAGCAAATTAGATCTGCTTTAAAAATGTCCTGTGAGATGTTTTTCAAAAAACGGTCCTTCAGGGTTATAATCGCCAAAATTTGAAAAATTACGATTTTTTCGCGTTTTTTTCGATTTTTGACAAAGTTGCGTTCGGTGCTCGAGGTCACAAACTTGGATCATTCATTAGGCCAACATCATGAACAGATCTGCAAAAAATCAGAACTACCGGATTTGACGCATACTACCCCCATATGTTCAGGCGACAAATTCACTGGACTAATAGTCCGGGACTAAAAAGTGTTAATATTTCAGGTGCAGCAGGAGCTGAGCGGAACGTTCGCGCGCCTCTGCCACCTCGTCGACGAGGCCACCAGCGAGATGGACAAGCAGCTGCGCGGGTTGGAGGGAGAGGTGGGGGGACTGGAGAGAGCGGGGGGCAAGGCGAAGGTGCTGCGCAACAAGGCGAATTATCTGGTGCACGAGCTGGAGCTGTTCGAGGACGCGTATCTGAAGTTGCAGCACCGCTAGGAGGTCGGTGATCTAATCATACACTCACTGGCAAAAAAAACGGCCACCAAATTAGCCAAATTGTTTGCTCTGTAACTTTTTCAATTCTGGTCCGATTTTGGTGAAATTCTGACCAAATCGTAGATTCATGTTTCCAAATGTTAGCCTGAATATTAGTTCCGCAGAAAATCGGATGACTCGCTCAATACTGGGAAAAAGGAAAGTTACTTTTTCACCCTTAACTTCTAAACGCCCTGTGGGAAAGATGAGTAGTTCAACTCAGCTTCATTATGTTTTAGATTGAAGAGTGATCTCTTCTCTACATGATGGTTTTTTATTCACGTCGATAACCACTTTTTGTAAGGAAGATACGAGTGTTTCTCGAGAGTATGGATTTTTAAAATTTTTATTTACAATAATTCAGAACCATTCTCCAACCATCTGCTTCATCATGTTTCAAATTGAAGTGTAATCCTCTTTTGTCCCTTCTTCATTCAACCGTTCTTGAATAACGTCAATATCTCCTTTTTGAGAGAAGATACAAGTGTTTCAATAAAGTATAGATTTTTTAAATTTTCAATAACGATAATTCAGAACCTATCTACCTATCTTAGGGGTGACCTCTAGAGGCTCATTCGCCTTCTCCCAGCCTTGTCAGATAGTCTTCAAGAGCTACGATTCGCCCTTCAAGGAGGATTTTAGGCAGTTCTTCAAGGCTAATTGAGTAATTTGATAATTTCGATGCCACTGTAGTTGAATGCTGTAATTCAGTATGGAGGAGAGCATACTCGTTATCGACTACAGGTTTGCTTCTTGTTTGTTTTTTGTAATTGATTTTCCGGTAAGTGCTAAGAAAGTAAAGTAGGAATATGTGATATTAATCCTTGAAGTTGTTAATCAATAAGTTCATGTAAGTTCTGATTATTGGTGAAAAAAGTTGAAAAACACCATACTTCCGTAAAACACTCGTATCTTCTTTTAAAAATAAGATATTGACGTGAATCAAAAACTTTTGTGTTGAGAAGGGATCACACTTCAATCCGAAGTATAATGAAGCCACATTCAATCACGCAATTTTGCCACAGGGCGTTGAGAAGTATAGAACGAAAGAGTATCTTTGGTTTTCCCAGTATAATGATCAAGTCATCAGCTTTTCAGGAAAACTAATATTCAGGCTAACATCCCGGAACATGAATCTACGATTTGATCTGAATTTCACAAAAATCCGACAAGGATCAAAAAAGTTATAGTGTGAACAGTTTGGGCAAATTATTTGGTGGCTGGTTTATTTTGTCGGTGAGTGTATATATAAACTACTTGATGGCGCCTAGAGATAGGGAAATAGTAGGAGAGTCGTCTGCGAATTTCGACCATTTGATGATGAAATGGCATGTGCCCTGAAAGTATGTGAAACTGGTGCGTAATTTTTATCAAACTGGTCCAAGTAAGATTATATAAAAACCAAAATTAAACTTTCAGTCGGTCGACCACATAAATTTGATCAAAAATTGAGACGTAACTAGTTTCGGCCCTCGGCCATCATCAGACGTTCTAGCAGGATGTAAAAAGTACCAGAAAGTGATCATTATGAAATTATAGGCAACATTCATATTGATCACTTTCAGATACTTTTTACATCTTTCTAGAACGTCTGAAGATGGCCGAGGGCGGAAACTAGTTACGTTTCGATTCTTGATTAAATTTGTGTCGTTCGTCGACGTTTTATTTTGGTTTTCATTGAAGTATGTGAAACTATTTAATCGAATGGCACCTGTACCAATCACTGTCCTGACCAATGACACTGCTTTAATTTGCGCAGAATTTTACTATTTGAGACATGAGATTATCATTATACCATCCGATACCAATTGAATGAAAGATCTCAAAATCCTATCTCTGCCACCGTTAATTCTTAGTCAAATCTTTGGCATAGCAATTTACTTCCAGTACATCACCTTGTTAGGAAATGAAAAAGGTATTTTGTCCCCATCCAAATGTGCCGCGGTTCAACCCGATTCAAGTTGGTGGCAGAGTAATATTTTCAAGAATATATCAAGGCTGTAGAAAGGCGTGTTCTTTTATTCATATAATGACTTTTTTCTGATAATTACTGATCGATCCCTTTTGACATCTCTTTTGACGCCACAGATAATTCAGAACGTTTTATAAAAGAAAGCCGATTTTTGTCCAATATAACCTTGAAACAGTGAATGTGAACAGTCCGCGCTTTATTATTCATCTTTATATATAAATAACAGCAGCATTGAGGATATGAAAAACTGTGGAGTGTCAAGAAATTATAAGCATTTCAAATACGAGATACTTTATACTTTGTACTCTGTACCTACAGTGCATCCCATTTTGATTGGGACTGCCAGGTTTCTCGGCTGTTATTTAAGATATTCCGCTTTTCGCGTGCCGTCTAACTTTTTTGTGAAACTTATGATGGCCGATTCAGATTTTGCATATCTATTTCCGGTCATGAGATACACAAGACAATTTTGAAAATTGATACTTTTCAGACCACTTCTATATCTATGAAGCTATAAGAAATGATGTTGCGCTGAGAACTATGTCCAACAGAAAATTTCGCGCAGAATCCAGTGGCGTACTCACAATTTTTTTCGGGGTTTGGTATTTCCATCATTTCGTTGAATTTTTTTTCCTTCAAAATAATTTACAATATTTTATACATAGGATCACCAGAAATGCTAAAAAATACTAACACATTAAATTATTATGAAATTTTGCTAGGGGGCTGTATAATCTAAGTTAGCTCACATTGAAATTATGTGATTTGTTTTTTCTTTCTCTTTTCTGCTGCTCTCAATTTCAAGGATGGTTAGATACAGTTTTGACCAACCCATGCTGGACCCTGTGATTCTATGGGTTTTTTAATGTTCGTTTCTACAATCTTTACTCAGCAAATAAAACATTGCAATGATTATTATCATTATTATTATTATTATACAAGAAATAGAAGAAGTATCTCATTCTTCAAGTTGAACTTGAAAAATCCATGGCCCACTAGCAGTAATTCATCATAATTCAATGTTTTCGTGTGGGAAGACTATATTAAACCCCCATTTCACTCATTATGTCTTCACAGTGTCTAATACCGACTGCCGTTAATCATATATCTGTATCATTACCGTGACTCAGTGAATACCAATATCTTTATTCATTGCATAATCCAATGCACTACACCGATGTATAAAGTGTTCCATTGAAAAATATTTAAGTTTGTGTTGAATCTCCAAAACCGAACTCCGAAAAAAATTTTTGAGTCCGCCACTGGATGCAGATTTCTCTGTTAGACATATTTTTAGCGCAACAACTACGTAGATATAGAAGGGGCCCAAAATGAATAAATTTTCAATATCGATCTGCATCTCATAACCGGAAACATTTATGCAAAATCTGATTAGGCCATCTTGAGATTCACAAAAAAGTAGGAAAGTCAAATGAAAACCGCAAGGCTCTATCTTCAATAACAACCGAGTAACCTGACAGTCTCAACTAAAATGGAATGCACAGTACATGATAGTAAGCAAGTGTCATGAACTCCTAATGATCTTACTAATTGTTTATTCTTTTTTTTTATTAACTTCTACGGAAATGTCACTTCATTATGATACAGTTGCAAAGTAACTAAAAACTCACTGTTATATTAATAATTGATCTGATAACCTCATATTTTCAGTGTTTTCAACATTTGAAATATTTCCCTCTCTGAATTCAGTAACCTGACAGTCTCAACTAAAATGGAATGCATAGTACAGGGTATCCCAATTTGGGCACTTTTGCGGGGTATCTCCCTTATCAGTAAAGATAGAGCATTACGGTTTTCGCGACAGTGTGCTACTTTTTTATGAAATTAATAATGGCGCAAGCAGAATTGTGGTAGCTCTTCCGGTTGTCTAGATACAGGGTGGAATTGAAAAATATCACCCCCCGTGTCTCAGTTATCTTTGAACTTATCGAAGAAGTTAAAACTTGTTTTTATAGAGTTTTTCTCGTAGAATCCAGTGGCGTAGTTATTTTTTTGCTAGCACCTTTTGTTTTTTAGTTATGGAGCAAACATATGTTTTTTTAAATGGAAAATAATTGTATACAATTATATATTTTTGGAAAGCCCACTTCATGCTCAATGTATATATGAAATAATATACAGGGTGTTCCATTTAAAAAAACATATGTTTGCTCCATAACTAAAAAACAAAAGGTGCTAGCAAAAAAATAACTACGCCACTGGATTCTACGAGAAAAACTCTATAAAAACAAGTTTTAACTTCTTCGATAAGTTCAAAGATAACTGAGACACGGAGGGTGCCTGAAAAGTGATATTTTTCAATTCCACCCTGTATCTCGACAACCGGAAGAGCTATCACAATTCTGCTTGCGCCATTATTAATTTCATAAAAAAGTAGCACACTGTCGCGAAAACCGCAATGCTCTATCTTTACTGATAAGGGAGATACCCCGCAAAAGTGCCCAAATTGGGATACCCTGTACATGATGGTAAGCAAGTGACATGAACTTCTAATGATCTTTCTAATTGTTTATTCTTTTTTCAAAATAACTTCTACGGAAATGTCATATCATTATACTACAGATGCAAAGTAACTAAAAACTCACTGTTATATTAATAATTGATCTGATAACCTCATATTTTCAGTGTTTTCAACATTTGAAATATTTCCCTCTCTGAATTCATCGCTGAATCAGTTCTTAATGCATCAGATGAAAATTCGATTGGATTATTTGCTGCTTGATTATTAGCTCAATTTTGAGAACTAGCTGTTCAAGTTCAATGTTTGAATTGATGATTCATCTATGAATCATAAAACACGCCTATAGAATCCGATGTACATCGAACCGATGGAACAGTGATAAATTTATGTGGATTTGAATTCTTACAAAGCATCATTATAATTTTCATACTCCCACGTAATGAAATCCACACGAAATCAGCGGACTGGACATAATTGTACCCTTCATGCGCACAGCTCAGGGCTTTTTCTATTTATTTTTTGTAAAGGATGGTGAGGCGCATCTAGTGGTTTATATATTTTTAGATTATTGTTAGAGTTGCGTATTTATTAGTTAGCGATTTAATTTCGAGTGGCTGTTTGTAGAGAGGTGGACGAAATTGGTGGCGATATCGCAAAAAGTATGCAGCTTAAATACTACCTTTTTGGGATGGAATCTTTGATCGGTTCAAAGGGTGTCCCTGTTTCTCAGCCACAAACTTTACCAACATACGAAGTTGTTTTCCATGAACTTACATCCTACCTGGAGAACTTGAAGTGTGACAATTTTCCATACCAACGTCGTGACTATGAACTAACGACTGTCCATTGATCTATCCCAATCACAAGAAAGATGTCATCTAGTGTCACTTTTGTCATGGGTTAAATTGACGAACAGTCGAAAAGTTCACATGACGTTAGTATGGAGATACTCTTAATTAGATACATGGTAGTGGCGTTTGTTTTTCTTTTCAATATGGCTTCAGCGCCTTTCACTTATTGCGATCAATCATAGACACCCTTTAAATTGTACACCTCATAGAAAGATTGATTGAAATCAACATTTCCTGCCATTTTTATTTCAAATGATATAGGTACTGAAAGTTCCGTTTTTCTCAACTGACGACCAAAAAAATTCAGTTGAGACCAAGAAAAATGAAGCTTTGCTAGTATATCATTGTTGATGACAAAGACAGATTATATCCAAATTCAAAAATTTAAAGTCACCGCCCTTGATCTGCCATGAACCAAAAAAGAAGGAATCAACACGCCCTGGAAAGTTTTATTTCTTGAGTTGTGTCTATTTGCTGGTGTGGAAAGGGTCATTCAGGACAAGCAAGCAGGTTTTGGGAGACATACGGTATTCATTTGAATTTCGACTTCAAAGTTTGTCATGAAAGTAAAAGCCTTCTTCTGTCACTTCATCTTCTTGAAAAAAAAGATGTTCTTCCATGGTACTTGGAAATTTGATACTCTATTTATGACAAGAAAAGTCATTCAGTGCATAAATTTGTCAATTATGCAATTCAATAATTTTAAATCAACATTTAAATAACATGAAATTATTATCCAATTGGACTATGTAATGTGACAGACAAAATCGAAGAAATTTCAGCAAAATATTCACTAGGCATATCATAGCAGACATGTGAAAAGTTCTGAGGAATAGCAATACTCATTCTGATTTCATTATACAATTAATTTCAATATGAAGTTAATTCTATACCTATAAGTGATTATATGTGAACGCAGTATTCAACACAAAATTTGTATTGTATTTCAAATAATTATTAGTTAGTTAGTTATTCAAGGGTCATAGTAGGTTTTTTTCAGTTGAAAATAATTTGATGAAATATCAATTAAAGCTGCAAACTTTTTGAGCTCTATTTATTTATTATAGGCAATTTATTATTTTTAGCCAATTGAAATATTTCATTGGCCTCTATACAATCAGTCTCACATTTTGTGATAGATTTAATCATATATGTAAGCTTACCTGATTCTATAACTGTTTTTACATTTATTTAACAACATGTTTTATTCAATACGAATAAAATCGCCTTAGCCAATTCACATGAAATTTTATTATGGTAAAGGCATCTTATGGCTTTGAGAGATTTGTGTTATAACATGTACAAGTTTTGATCAGTTACATATTTCCACATTTTGAATTGGATTGATATTGAAGTGTTTGTTGAGAACATTGCAACTTTTTACTAAATGAATAATCTGTACTTTCAACGAGAGAGATGATTGTAGAACAGTGAAAATTTGTTGTTAGTGTATATATTGATGAATAATACCTACTGTTGTGTTCGTAAAGTTTTTTATTTCTCAAAAATCATATATAAAAAAATGAAAATAATAACTAATTATCACTCATTTATACAAACAAATTTCATCACAAATCACTTACATACTAGTCATAAAAATAATATTTAAGTAATTATGTAAAATAAATTAATATACTAGGTTCTAGGGAAGTAATGAAGATTCAGTGCTAAGGAATTTGAATAATGTGCATATATAAGATATTTACGATGCAAGCACCATAAAGACACATATCACGATATGAGATGGGAAATTTGTTTGATAACGTATCGATTATCGCAATATTGATTCACGATACGAATAGTATAGTACAATATTTTACCTACCACCAAAATTGCTGATTATTTAATGAAAAATAATAAATATTTCTTGAATCACCGATTTATTATGAAAATGTCAAGGTCAAGTGTTACTATACCTACTTGTCGTGAATCTATTGTGTTCTTGGTTGTCACTCATTCCGCGAACTGTCAACTTCGACGCGTTCATTTCAATGTGGAAAAAAATTATCGACAATTCCGACCACGAAAGCAAATATTCAGATATTGAAACTGCGGCAAATGAAGCAATTCAAACTATATTTATGACCAATTAGTTCTTATTTCCTTTTTTTAGTGAAATTTGAAATTATTCTTATTTACTTTACCGTACTAGTGTGGTAAACAACGGTAAAGTATCTCATTTCGAAACTAAAATCAGTGCCATAATGTTCCGCATTACATATTGGTAGTAGGTAAACATATTTTCGAAAAGTGCATACATATATTCATTTTTTATTATAGCTGCCATGTTACTGCTCAAATCGAAAACAATCACCAACACAACCTATGATCTAGACCGCTATTATGTCATTCCAACAACCCGATAATCTCATTCAAATTGCTTGCTTGAAAAAGTTTCTGGACAAGGCTCACAATGATCCAAACTGTCATTCATGACATCGGCTTTTGTCACTTGTTGTTCTGACAGTAACAGTGAGAAGGAACAATTTTAGAACAATTTTTTTAGGATATTATGCCAAGCTCCATGGAATCCAGTCGATTTCGTAAATGGATACATTTTTGTCTCATGACAATAGCGGTCTAGATGGTTAGATTAGGTTGGTTGAAACAATCCAAGTGATTGAAAAATTTTCATAGTAAAATACTGAAAAAGTGGATCCTACGGAAAGATACATTTGTCCAGATTATTGATGAATGTACATATACATTAGTATTCATAAGTTATCCACTAAAAAATCCATAACAAAAAACATATTTTTCAATATTGATATTATACAGGGTGCTCCAGGTTCAACGTCATTAATTTTTATTGGGGATAAAACATTATAGGAATTTCCTTTCGTGTGCTCCAAGGGATAAAGAAATGAAGATAATTTGGTTAAAAATGCTTCCTAACATACACGGTGTCAAAAGTTTTGGGCAAATACTGGTTTTCTCATCATCACCGAATCACTCGATCGATTTCAATCAAATTACATACACTTGACTGATGTATTACATCTCCGAGTAATGATTGACATAATTTGATGAAATTCTCCAGTGGCATAGATAATGGGGGTCGGCATCTCTTTCTCCCTCTTCTTTTCTTCGGTGTCACTGGATATTTAACAAAAAATATTAAATATTTGATTCCTTGTTCAATTTGAAGGATAAAAGTACCTCTGCACATTTTTGATTCATTACCTCGTTTTTTGAAATACTTATTTGAATTTGAAGGGTTGCAAAAAGGCTGAAACTTATGAGGTTCTGTACAGGCTGTGAATAGTATGGCTGCCAATAATCTTTAATCTTAATGAAGTACACATTACATTGTTGATTTTGATGATTCTAAACGCTCGTGGAGAACTCAATCGAGTTGTCAAAACTCTTTGTTAGGAAGCATTTTCAACCAAAGTTTTTTCATAAAAGGCTACTTTGAAGTTCAACCTGGACCACTCTGTATATTTCAGTTATTGATGATGACGTATTATGTAGAATTACCAAGACATTTTGTTCGCTTCCTTTGACCATTTATAGATTCCGCCTCGTTTTTTGAACATTGTCTCATCGAAGCCCGAAAACTTGAGAGCATTTTGTACTCCCACGTCCAACACCGACTTTGAGGGTATTTTAGAACCACTTGTACAATCGAGGAATCTCATCTAAAAAGTTAAAAATTGAATAAATTATCTATACTAATATAAAGAGGGAAGTTTTGTATGTTTGTATTGAATAGGCTCCGAAACTACTAGACCGATTTGAAAAATTCTTTCACCATTCGAACCCGACATTATCCTTGATGAACATGGATAATTTTTACCTCGGGAATTGTTTCATTCGTACGGGAAAACGGGTAGTAAGAATGGGCTTATATCACAAAAAAATTTTATTTCATAATTCGATAGAACTCACCCAAACTAGCTCACCACCGCAAACCGTTTCTTGCTGTGAGCTCCCTACGTTTTATAAAAAATTATTGAAATCCCCGATTTTTCGGACCTCTGAAAACGAGGCGATGATGTGACGTCAAAACCCTAATACTGAAACAAGACTCTTCCAGACAGAGATGAATGATACATGATTTCTGACAGAGTGAATTAGCGCGAGATCACAGTTGAAAGAATTAATATATCAGTTGCCTCAGTCTCCGTCGGGCGTTTGGTATTTTCTTTCAAATATGGCGAGATGAGGTTTCTACGTCATAAGAGGGTCCTTTTTCAGAAGGTACTATTATTTATGTCCAAAAATAAAACATTCCAGTTAATTTTTCGATCGAATTATGTCGTCAATCATTATTTATGTATAAAAGGATCATTATAAACATGGTTTGAGTTAAAAGTTCTACTGAGGTGTACACGCCCATTATCCTTCCGTACTTATCTTTTTCACAATACTTCTAACCGGATGAACCGATTGAGTTGAGATTTTAAATGGGTATTTCGGATATTCAAAAATACAATTGGCATGGTAGGTTTCGCTGCTGTCGGTACGTCAACTATAAACGTCTTGAACGATTGGATTGAAATTTTTAATACGTAAAACAGCAACAAAAATACAAAAGATACTGAGAGAATGAAAATAGATGGAAGTATATAATAGTAGCTATAGGTAAGCTGAAAAAAATTGAAAATTACAAAAAATATGTACTGTAAATACGCGCATAGCTCAGTACGACTGCAACAAATGCCTTATTTTTTCCAGGCCGGAAATTCAAAAATGAGATACGCAAAATCTTTGGGACAAGTTCCTTTTAAAGGCAACACTTTGATATGAGCATTAGTTCAACCCAGATTACCCATATGGCTTTGACGTTTTTTTTGACGTCATAGTACATAGACTCTGACGAGCAGTGTCAATCAGACGAAACCCCAAACACAAGGAAATTATTTTCCATTTTGATTATTCGACAAATGTTGAATGTCACTAATGTCAGTGACAATGAATGCTACTGGTTGATTCTTAGTAGTTTCGGGACGAAAGATGAATTCGCGAAACAAGTTAAAATATCTCGATCATTAATCGACCTCATTAATACATAATTTGATAAAGTAACTTTTACTACCAAGGTATATATAATTTTTTTCTCCACATCAACAATATATTTCAATCATTATATTTCTATGAAACAGAAATATGGACCATTGTCACTATGAAAGCTCATCTTTTCAATTCTAATTAAAATCTAGTAGCCATGACCATGACAGCATAATGGGGAAGTTTACAATATCGAGGATTTTTTTTCACTGTGAAGTTTGTAAACATTCAATATAAGTATACGTATTTTTTTCTTCTTTTGTAAGATCAAATTTCACTTCAGAAAAAAATTAATGAAAAAGGTTGGCTCCTTCGCCAGCAAAATGGGTTTTTTAATCCTAGTTCGTCAAGTATTAGAAATAATTATTAAAAATCGCATATTTGCTGAATGAAGTTGATTAATTATGAAGATAAAGTATGATATTTTGCAATAATATCTAAAATTGTTCACTTTCTTGATATTACAAAATGATAATTATAACTTCATATCATTTTTGTTCAAATGAATTCGTTCCTTTATGAACCAAATCTATTTTCTGAAAATGTTCAGATTATATCTTGCAACAGGGCATAATACTTTGAGCCCGTCCACACCACACAAAATACTGACAGGCACCCCGCGAACTGAACTGATTTTGTGGTTATGTATGTTTTTCTTAGCCAGTTTTTTTGTGTCGATTTTTTATCTCCAGTTATTCGTTAGCCTGAGTCTACAGTTTATAGTTGTTTTGTTAGTTAGTTCATCATTGTTATATTTCATGATTTATAATCAACAACAACGCCAAGATGTCGTCTTCTCCTTCTCCTATTTTCTTCTTTGATATTAACTCGTGAGCTATTAATTCGCTAGCTATACAGGGTAACTCACGGTCCATGGTACGTTAGACGTTTACGGAGAACGGGACATAGTATCATTCTGAAATTTTGATTACTCACGTTTCAGCTCTGCGGCGTTGCCGCTTCTATCGAAAAGTAGCAACAACTTTGTTATTTTAAATTGTACACCCTGTATTTTATTGCATTTTCAGATTCTCTCTGAAGAGCTGATTTCATCGATGTATCACATTTGGGGTCTAGCGGAAATGATAACAGAGATATAGGGTGTGAAAAATCGACCTTTTTCAAATTTAGGAATTTTTTTTGTCGAAACTATTCATTATTGGTCAAAACGGCTCACATGTCCCGATCTCAACTTTTGATCAACTATCTACTGACATTTAATTGAAACAAATACAGGGTGGTGCAGAATTCAGAATCTTGATCGCCCGGTATATGTCCCAATTAAATATCAGTAGATAGTTAATCAAAAGTTGAGATAGGGACATGTAAGCCGTTTTGACCAATAATGAATAGTTTCGATAAAAAAAATCCTAAAGTCAAAAAATGTCGGTTTTTCACACCCTACATCTCTGTAATCATTTCTGCTAGACCCCAAGTGTGATACATCGATGAAATCAGCTCTTCAGAGAGAATCTGAAAATGCAATAAAATACAGCGTGTTCCATTTAACATAACGAAGTTGTTGCTACTTTTCGATAGAAGCGGCAACGCCGCAGAGCTGGAAATATTTTAAATCGATAGACCAAGAGCAACTACATGAGTAACCAAAATTTCAGAATGATCCTATGTCCCGTTCTCCATAAACGTCTAACGTACCATCGACCGTGAGTTACCCTGTATTCTTCATCATCAGCTATATTCAGACTAGATTCAGAATGTATAGACCTCACAGTTTGCGCCCCGAAAATTATTTTGAAAATAAAAATTATTTGGTAGAAAAAACACACTCCACGACTTGAAAAGGAGTAATTAATGGTAGGTTCTATAGGTAGTGCTGGAAAAAAAATTAAAACGGGAACTGATAGCATATAAACCTACATGAAATCAAATTCAAAGGTTCATCAAGTTCATAAAAATAATAAAATGCAAGTTTTTGCAGTTTGAAACTGTAGTAATTGTTAACAATTTATTCATTTATTGTGCTCTGCTCATCTGAACTGAGTTTCATTGCAAACGAATACTTTGTATGTAAAAGTTCATTCAACTCTGATGTATTTCATCATTTTCGTCCTCATTTTGAACTTCTGTAACTACTTCAGGAAACTATACAAATTGACCATATTATACCTTTTCGCCCTCGTCGTATCAATTATGGTCATCATTGCAATATACTTACATTCCTCTTATTCAAACATTTTTTTAACAAGGTGTCACTGACTATCGATTGACTTTCTCTTTCAGGTTCTAATAGTGAAATTTCAAGTGCAGAGACGAATAGAAAAAAATCATAAATTTTTTAGAGAAACACCTCCTCGTTTATCCCGCATACAGTATTGTTAACCTTATTGACTCACATATTCATCCAGTATCAAATAGCTGTTCTGCATCTTTTTGTTCGATTCTGGTACCAAACAATCGACTCCTTTGTGGCGCTCCAAAAAATTATTGAAAATTTCCTCGGAAATATAAAACCTCTCTGCGTTTCTAAGTGCTTCTGCTCCAGCATTTTCGCCTTCCAAAAGAAGACATTGGAAAACCTTCCATCTGAAAATGTTCACCTGTATAATGATGGTGGTAAAGAAAATCATTATTACACAGAGACCATTTCAGTTTTGTACAATCACTTGAAAATGCGTCTGAAATTTCCCATGTTCAATATATTTTCCAGAACACAAGTTCACAATGCTGTGTCACAGTTACTTATATGAACATTGAACCTTTCAATCTCCCCTAGCCAATCCATCCGTAATCTGGATCAGGAATATTCCGAACTATTCTGAACGAACTTTGGGAGCCTACTTCAGTCTGGATCTGCTCTACACCGTTAGGTTAGAAATGTTCGAAACTTTTTGATTTCTACTATTTGCCCGGAATTGAGGAAGATAATTGATGCATAATGAGTTTTTTTTCTGTGACGGGAAAAAAGTTTGACATTTCATCTCTGTTGACAGGTTATAAAATGTCACTTTTCAAAAATTACTTTTTTCCCGTGGGAAAAAAAGTGAGTACTTTTTTCCCGGATACGTATGGTAGATATTTGATTCAGAATATTTCATTAAACGAAAGTTACATTTCCTTCATATCAAAAGTACAATTATTGAATGTGCATTGCATGAATGACACGTTCATTGAAGTATTCGGAACAACAGTAGAATTTTCTCGTGTTGAAATTATATTTCATTCTGCCATGGACACAACTGCCGATGATGTACCTGGTTGCAAATGGGGTGTTATTTCGGCAATGCCACAAGTTCTGAATACTTTATTAGCTATTTCTGTTCTGTGTGATACCGATTCATCAACATAATATCCTTCAGCGACCGTTGATGACTTCCAACCGCCATGTTTCTTCAGTGTCAGCAAATCTCCCCCAGATTCAACTAAAAGTGTAGCAGATGATCTTCGAAATGAATGACCTGTATATGAGGTATCATTTTCAAGTTTTAGAAAACTAGCTTCTGTTTCAGGTACCTTGTAAAACTGATTTTTACCCACAACTTGATTGATACATTTTCCATTGCGATATGCATAAAACAGGCGGCGATCCTTTGCTGTTTCTGGACGCAGGGCTATGTATGTTCGGTAAAATTTAATATATTCTTCAGTAACTACAAATCTTCTGTCCACATCATTCTTTGTTTGCTTGAGTTTCACAATAAATATCGTTCCTGAATCTTCAATATCATCTAATAATGTTACCTGGCTGATTTCACAAATTCGACAAGCTCCTGAAATCCCGAATACAACAACAACTTTGGCCATTAAATAAACTTCATCAGGAGCATTATTTAAAAATTCGCCAATTTGTGTACTCGTAAAAATTGCTGGTTTCTTGGGTTTGTAACCTTTTCCATTTTGTTTCAGGTATGTAATTAGTTTGGGATATTTTGAAATGTCTACATTATTATTGGATTGTAACATACTTTTAATCATTGAATAATTTGACCACACTGTTGATGGCTTTTGTTGCTGAGCCAGTTCGGAAAAATAGGCCAATACCACCGTTTCCGAGAAAGAACTGCATGACTTTTTCATTCTCCATTCCATGAATCTTGAATACGTGGTTTCGTAAATTTTCCGCGATTTAGCTGGCAATAATTTTTGTGACGCTTCTTTCACTGCTTCAACTAACTCCGGTGAAGTAAGAGAAAACTCGAATTCAGACATTTAATATTATTCAAAATAACTACCAAATCACTATATAAGTTCGCAATGATTTTCAAATCAAAAATCAAAACACAGAATTACATTGACAGAATATGACAATAGAATGACATAGCAACAAAGATGCCCACAATGGAGGTGTAAGAAGTACAAATTTCACATTGATAATTTTCTGATTATATTATGTAATATCTTTTCAATATTAAAGCGTCTTTCTTCCTGTCACAGAAAAAATAGTGTATTATACACGGGAAAAATATTAGATTTTAGCACACGGTTTGTTGTCTACTACTTTTTTCCCTTGTATAATAAATAACTATTGTTCGTCAAACAGTTGTTATTGTTGTATAATTCTTTCCCCTTCTTCCACATTGTGGCTGATGTGATAGTTGAATTGGGGGCCCAGTGGTCGAGAGCCCAAAGACGGTCAATTCGTAAGGGAACACTCACCGAGGCATGGTTTCGACGATCGATATTCATTTTTGGTACAGTACCACTCGCAATTATATTTCGCAGTCTCGTCTTCGATTATAAACACCCTGTAGTCCTAGCGCGCTATACATTGCCTACGACGTTTAAAGAAATACAAGTTTTTTGTGTATTAGTCATCGGTATTTCTTTATCACTTCCCGAACTTTATTTGTCTTCATTCTAGTGTGTCGTACCGCGCATATAAGACGTTATTTTGAAAAAAAGTGAAAACGTGAAAACAGTGCCAAATAATCGTGATACAGTGACGATTCGAGTGCTTCAAGAATATGGTTAATGATGAAAAACACAGGAATGATAAACTGGACAAATTCCAACAAAAACTTGGGAAAATTCAAAAAGAGTTGGAATCAATTCGTCAAAGTAAGTTCAATATATCAATTATACGTAGGTATTACTCAAACTGTTACAACGTCAATTCAATATGTCTCACTCAATATGGACTAAGAACAAGATGATTGGTGAAAGGTGAAAGGTCGCAAGGAATTAGTTTTTGCAATTCAATAAAAAACGGCTGATACATTTCATGCCTGAATATAATTGGTTCTCGTTTCGTATGGAAATACACATGTATTTACTAGAAACACTAACAAACAAGGTGTAACTTTACACATGTGTTATGTTATACCTCTACCAACAGAAACGAAGAAAATTGGAGCTGAAAAATTTCATGCTCACACTATTAATTGTGCACATGCGCAGATGCGTTCATTAAACAATTATTGATGACGTCGCCCGTCTTCCATTGTACAGGGTGATCGGAAGATATAACGAATACACTAATACCTATACACTGTGTCCGTAAAGTATGGAACAAATTCGATATTTCCTGAACTAAAAGCCTTTTCAAAAATATCAGAAACACATCAACTACATTTTCGAGGGGGACATCGTTCTGAAATATTTTTAGCCCTGCGGCGTTGCCGCTTCTAACGAAAAGAAGCAACAATTTTGTTATTTCGAATGGAACACCTTGTATTTTATTGCATTTTCAGATTCTCCCCGAAGAGCTGATTTCATCAATGCATCACACTTGGGGTCTAGCTGTAATGGTTTCAGGGATATAAAGTGTTCAAAATCGAGATTTTTCAACTTTAGCTTATTTTTGTGTCGAAACTATTCATTATTGGTCAAGACGGCTTTCATGTCTCTATCTCAACTTGTGATTTACTATCTACTAACATTTAATTGGAACAGATACAGGGTGATCAGAATTCTGAATCTTGAACCACCCTGTATTTGTTTCAAATAAATGTCAGTAGATAGTAAATCACAAGTTGAGATAGGGACATGAAAGCCGTTTTGACCAATAATGAATAGTTTCGACACAAAAAAATGTTGAAAAAGTTGAAAAATCTCGATTTTGAACACTTTATATCCCTGAAACCATTACAGCTAGACCCCAAGTGTGATGCATTGATGAAATCAGCTCTTCGGGGAGAATCTAAAAATGCAATAAAATACAAGGTGTTCCGTACATGGTGTTCCGTTCGAAATAACAAAGTTGTTGCTTCTTTTCGTTAGAAGCGGCAACGCCGCAGAGCTGAGAATATTTCAGAACGATGTCCCCCTCGAAAATGTAGCTGACGTGTTTCAGATATTTTTGAAAAAACTTTTAGTTTAGGAAATATCGAATTTGTTCCATACTTTACGGACACAGTGTATAAATATATTATGTAAATAGAATTTCATGCTTGGTTCCTCACACAGGCTCGAGTAGATCCATTGTAACTGAGTTTAACAAATATTTTTGTGAAATAGGGGAAAGCATTATAGATAGTATTGAAACTGAGAAAGTATGGGGGCAATAAACTAGGTAATTTTGAGGAAATCACATTAAATAACATACAGTGTCTTTCAAAAGTATCGGAACGGTCTCATATTTCAGGAACGGCTTGAGAAAAATTCACGAAATTTTCTACAGAGTGATTATTGATGATGTCCGATTCAATGGTGGCATCGGCAATGTTGCCAAGTTTACAGTTTTTCAGATATTAGGAGTAACTTTAATTTTTCAAATGGAATACCCCATTTATTTTTATTGCAATTAATTAAGCGCCTCCTAATTACTTGAGTCCCTGAATATCAGATTCGTAATTAACCTGATTTTCTAAATATGACAACATAGCTTTTTCGTTAAAAAGTTCTGGAACGGTCCCATATTTCAGAAACGGCTTAGAGAAAATTTATGAAAACTTCGACAGGATGGTTGTTGATGATGCCCGATTCAATGGTGATATCGGCAATGTTGCCAAATCAACAGTTTTTCAGATATTTAGGGTAACTCAATTTTTTCAAATGGAATACCCTATTTGTGTTCATTGCAATACATTCAGCGACGCCTCATTACTTTTGTCTCCAAATATCAGATTTTAAATTGAAGTGGTTTTCGAAATATGACAACATGGCATTTTCGTTCAAAAGTCTGGGAACCTTCTAATATTTTCAATACGGTTCAAGGAAAATTCATGAAATTTTATACAAGATGGTGTCTGATGATGCCCGATTCAATGGTGATGTCGGCAATATTGCCGAATCAATAGTTTTCCAGATATTGAGGGTAACTCAATTTTTTCAGATGGAATACCCTATTTGTTTTCATTGCAATACATTCAGCGACGCCTCATTACTTATGTCTTCAAATATCAAATTTTAAATAAGTGTGGTTTTTTAAATATGAGAACATGCTCCGTTGAAATGTCCGCGAACACTCCAATATTTTCAAAAGGGCACGCGAAAATATGAAATTTTATTGCGATCAATTCGCAACTCGCTCCTTTAATGCAGTCTTTTCAATCCATGTCACTCAAATAGTTATTTGCGTTTAGTTTTTGTAAAACTGTTGATTTGGCAACATTGCCGATATCACCTCGGGCATCAATCAACAACCATTTTGTCGAAGTTCTCATAAATTTTCTCTGAGCCGTTTCTGAAATATGGAACCGTTCCAGAACTTTTTAACGAAAATGCTATGTTGTCATATTTCGAAAATCACGTTAATTACGAATCTGATATTCAGGGACTCAAGTAATTAGGAGGCGCTTAATTAATTGCAATAGAAATAAATGGGGTATTCCATTTGAAAAAATAAAGTTACTCCTAATATCTGAAAAACTGTAAACTTGGCAACATTGCCGATGCCACCATTGAATCGGACATCATCAATAATCACCCTGTATATATAGATGAGATTACCAAGGAGGAAATAGGTATGATAATAGATAACTTGAATAAAGACTCAGTACCAGTATTTGATGGAATTACAATGAATAATGTAAAAACTCTAAATTTTGCAAGAATTGACAGGGTCATAACTTCTTCTTCTTCTCTTTAGGTTTGTAAGTGTATTATAAAAAATTTTAGAAACATCACTTGAAAGTAGAATAGTGAATTTCATTGAACAACACAAACTACTGGATACACACCAGTATGGATTTCTAAGAAATAGCAATACACAAAGTGCAACTATGGACTGTGTGGATTGCATATGATAAAAAACAATTTGTTGTTGCAATTTTCGTTGACTTAAAAAAAGCCTTTGATGTCGTTGACCACCATACCTTATTGAGGAAACTATATTTAATGGAAATAAGGGAGTTATGCTATGACATATTAAAATCATTCTTACAAAATAGAAGACAAGTTATATCTATGAACGAAACCATATAGGTGTTTCCAACGGAAGTTTTCTGTTAATGCGTTGATTGGACTCATTGACATTTATTTAATAGATCACATTTTTTCCTAGACAATTTACACAGGCAAATGCATGGAAATTTTCTACGGCATAATCTACAAGAGCTTCTTTTTTGAACCGTTGGGTTAGTCAGGTCGAGATGTTTCATTCCTTATCCTTTTACTTATAACAAAAAGAACCTGAGGGGATAACTGAGTTTAGCACACGAATATAAGTCTGAAACACCCTTTGAACTCACCGTATTGGTTTGATTTCCATTATTTGTCTACTCATATCCTCATCATAATTATAAGTGTTAACCACAGTATTTATTTTAAAAAGTACATCATATTTTTGACACCAATCTCTTACTTTTCTCAATTGTTTGATATGATTCTTATTTCCCTGTCCTCTGCCTATTGCCTAAAAAATAATTTTTAATAAACTGGGCGTCAATTGAAACGTTAATAGTGAAATTTGGCATCAAGTTTGACTTCTCGTAATTTCTAAAATATTGAACAAATTTTGAATTGCCGCCCAGATTCTGAATGCCTTTTTCATCGTCTTTCGAACCGTTCCTTACAGCTTCTTCTAAATTGATCAGGACCCGTGATACAGGGTGAAACAAAGTTTCGTGCATTTTGAAAAAAAAATCTCCGCCCCCCCCCCCCATTTTGTCGGAAGACCACGATGCTCATATCTTATTCTAGCATTTCATAAATAGCAACCATACCTCGGGACATTTTCTAGTTTTTGCCAAAAACTAGGTACTGTGGTTTCCGAAAAAAAAAAAAAAAATCAATTTTTTTTTAAATGGACTAATTTTAGAGGAGTTCCATAAATGGATGCTTTTATGCATTTCAGGAAAGCGTTGGAGCAGATATGTATACCAGGTTACTCAAAAACAATCAATAATTTATTACTTCGCAGTCTATGATAAAAGTTTTCTACCTTAGTGAGCAGTAAATCAACACATCTCATCAAGAAAAACAAACTACGATACCTTGTTTCTATAACAACGTATTGTTGAAACAATGTAGGTATGCATAGAGTTTATATCAATTGCCAATTTTCATGAAAACGTCAGTGTAATTCGGGTCCTAAAAAATTCGAAGATGCCTAGTTCAAATCGGGTCGAAATGGAAAATATCATTAGGTAAGATCACTATAGTGATATAAACTATAATTCAGTACAGATAATTATTATTTCAGGTTATGGCGATTAGGATATACCCAAACTCATTCAAGTACCATTTTCAATAAGTCAGTCATGAGCAATAAATAGACTGATTCATCGTTTTGAGGATACAGGTAATGAACTCCTCTAAAATTAGTCCATTTAAAAAAAAAATGCAAAAACATTTTTTTTTTCGGAAACCACAGTTGTTTTTGGCAAAAACTCGAAAATGTCCCGAGGTATGGTTGCTATTTATGAAATGCCTGAATAAAATATGAGCATCGTGGTCTTCCGACAAAATGGGGGAACGGAGATTTTTTTTTTCAAAATGCACGAATTTTTGTTTTACCCTGTATCATGGGTCCTGATCAATTTAGAAGAAGCTGTAAGGAACGGTTCGAAAGACGATGAAAAATGCATTCAGAATCTGGGCGGCAATTCAAAATTTGTTTTATATTTTAGAAATTACGAGAAGTCAAACTTGATGCCAAATTTCACTATTAACGTTTCAATTGACGCTCAGTTTACATTAGTTCCTCAATGTAATGAAAATTGGAAAAATAATAAATTGAAATAGTGATAATGTAAGGTATAATTTTGTTGACTTTATTCTTCAGATTGAAAAACAGAACTAACAGCCAATAAAAGTTGAAACAACATTATCTTTCGTAACTGAGTTCGTAAGATTCTGTGTGTTTGATTCAAATGATATCAATTTTGAATTTTTGTAGAGGGAAGATAATACTGCTCTATTCGAACTTTTTGTTATGTGTTTGTAACTATTTTCAACATAATATTCGTTACCTTATTTGTTTCTTCATTGAAAGAATCACAAGATATTGCCATTATATCGACATATTGTCCATAATCTTCGAACCATTTTTCCTTAATTAGGGATCCATTCGAAACCACACTGACTGATGCCAATTTCAATTCACGTTTACAAAATTTCACCATCTCTCCCAAGTGTTTACCTCTCTGTGGTAAAAATGGTTCGCCTCCACTGAAGTTTACTTTTTCCATACCTTCAGAAAAACAGTGTTTGTTATAGGTAGTACAGGCATGAATGAAAATAGGTATACTAATTACACAATGGAATTTCCTCTTCTCGTCTACATAAATGAGAATTTCAATATTCTATATTGTAGTAGGGACAACTCAAATGATTTGCCTCAAAATGTCACAGCGCTTATAATTTCAATATTAGAAATCTGCAATAAATATTCATAAAGAAATACATTGAGAATTTGCATTCTCTTTGTGATGAAAATACCAATTCTCTCTCTGTTTATTCAACAGAAAACAACTACATTCCTGGCTATATGCCACGGGTGTGTATAATTTGCGGACTGGAATAAAATGTTGCGGACTGGCTATTTCCATCAGACTTTTCGATGTTTTTATTGCATATCTGGATTCAGCTCACCGATATACACGATGAGAAGTTTCAGTTTTTTTTCTATGACCCCCCTGGGGAGCACTTTACTCTTGTGTTTTTTCATAAAATCTTGCGGACTGGGTATTTTTGAGAGTCAAAACATCTCAATTTTAACATAAATCGATTTATCTCATGAAAATACACGATGAAAAATTTTTGAATTGTTTCCCCAGCCCCCCTGCATGCATATGCATGTCTACTCTCAACTTTTGATTAACTATCCACTGACTTTTAACTGGAACAAATTCATGGCTATCAGAATTCTGAATCATGAACACTCTGTATCTGTTCCAGTTGAATGTCAGTAGATATTTATTCAGAAGTTTGGATAGGGACATGTAAACCGTTTTGACCAATATCATGAATAGTTTCGACACGAAAAAATCCATAAGTTGAAAAATCCCGATTTTTAACACCCTATTTATCTGTAATCATGTCTGCTAGACCCCAAGTGTAATGTATCGATGAAATCAGCTCTTTTGGGAGAATCTGAAAATGCAATAATGTACAGGGTGTCCCATTGAAAAACGAAGTTGATGTCACTTCGGTTTCGGTTCAACCGAAAGTGAAGTTAATTGTAAATATTTTAGAAAAATATAGATCTTATCACCCAAAATTCCGGATTGATGTCTCTTTTAGTTCTCTATGAACATCTCATGAATTTGTTAGGTGAATGACCCTGTATATTAAAATATTTTCAAAATCACAATATTCACCGCCTCTTTCCAGATATACGTCGGTGAACCGAACACCCTGTATATTTTGCAACTATTTGAGTATATTTTTTACAGTTTTCGGAGATATATGATGAGGTATTCAGAACGTCACATTCACAAGTTATCTTCGTTGTTAAAAAATAAAATAAAAACCCACAGGATATGTCGATATTATTTTTGCAATAAGGAGACGGGGGCAACTTTCGTGGAATCATCATGCTCGAAAATTTAACCCGCATATAGGGCGAAAATGATATCTACCAGTTTTGATTTTCAAATGGAATACACTGTACATTATTCTATGACTGATTATGGGTTGCCATTACGATACCACAAGTATACTGACAATATATCAACTTACTTGACATTTTCACTATTCTTCTTATTATTATTAGTAATTAATTAAAGAATGCATTTATTCAGTTTCATTCATGATGTAAACTATAATGCTGAAATACGTTATTTATGGCCTCAATCTGCAAATCCTCATATCAGTATTCGAAGTGTCTACGATTCAAAGACTCAATAACATGCATAATCAGCCGCGCGTCGCTAGGTGATAGGCACAGGTGATCTTTGCCCGCGCTTGGCGCGCTTCCCCTACTACGTTGTTTATTTTTTTCCTCCTTCCTCCAGACGCTAGTCAGGGTGTGAATTTGAAAACTTCCAATGCGAATATCTCGCGAAAGAAAAATGTTAGAGAAACGCCGTTTGGCAAAAATGCTAAAGAGTTAAGGGAACTAGAACCACCATATTTCGGTCAAGAGATGAGTCACCCCGTCGGCGCGACACACCCCAACTTTGAAATGTCAAATGGCACTACCTTTTTGTGATACCTCAAATGAACGGTCTCAGTTAGTAGTATTCACCTGTACAAGACTTTTTTTCCACCCACTACAGGGTGTACGAAAAACATTAAGTCGAGGGTCTAAATTTGAAAACTTTCAATGCGAATATCTCGCTATATACGAAAGTTAGGAAAACGCCGTTTGGCACAAATGCTACAGAGTTAGGGGGAACTAGAACCACCATACTTCAGTAAAGGGATGAGTCACGCCGTCGGCGCGACATACTCCATCTTTGATATGTCAAATGGCACTACCTCTTTTGTGATACCTCAAATGAACGGTCTCAGTCAGTGGTATTCACCTGTATAAGACTTTTTTTCCTCCCATTGCAGGGTGAACGGAAAACATAAAGTCGAATAAAATAAAATGCAGAATGCCGATATATTCCGAGAGATGTGTTCCAAAATGTTAGAATGGCATTTGAACATCGATAATACTATTGCTTACAACAGAATGGAATGCATTTTGAACATCTGATCAAATAAAATATCCTTTTAGCACAATTCATTTCATTCGACTTTATATTTTTCGTACACCCTGTAGTGGGTGGAAAAAAAGTCTTGTACAGGTGAATACTACTGACTGAGACTGTTTATTTGAGGCATCACAAAGAGGTAGTGCCATTTGACATTTCAAAGTTGGGGTGTGTCGCGCCGACGGGGTGACTCATCCCTTGACCGAAATATGGTGGTTCTAGTTCCCCTTAACTCTTTAGCATTTTTGCCAAACGGCGTTTCTCTAACTTTTTTCTTTCGCGAGATATTCGCATTGGAAGTTTTCAAATTTACACCCTGTATATGTATACACGAATTTATCCGATGTGTCAGCATTCTAAACATAATTATACAAACGTCATTACATTGATGTTGCCAATATAAACTGGTCAACATTGATAACGTCGTGTTCCAAAATATAGCCTGAATTCAAAGTAGAATAACTCACGAATTTCCTCACCAATTTGAAATCGGTTTTCACCGATGATTAGCCTAATCTCTTGACAGTTTGTTGTGGCAATATGAAACTTCTGTAATTTCAGATGATATTGCTACAGGGTGATAATTGAATGAGTGTAAAATTGCATCATGGTCGTCACCTCACCGTTTGAACTGATAATTTTTTAAATTTTTTTTCTCACCTGTATTCTCTTGATTGATGCTTTCTCTCGAAACATTTTCAGAATTTTCAAATTTAGAGCTTTGATAATCCTGTAATGAATATTCATTCAGAATGATGCATTTTTTCGACGATTAATTGAATGAAATTGAAAGCTGGAATTCTTCTCCGAAGAATCAACGTTGTGTGTAGTATAGTCGTCGGATATATGATCGTGTTCGAACACAGAAAATTCTGAAAAAGTCTATACAAAGTGATACAAGAAATACTGCATGATGGAATGGAGAATAACGTAGTCTTCAGTAGATGAAACATAATTTCCTCTGTGTTACTAGTGGAGTGTTACTTCGTCATGAGGATGTCTGGTGTCTGAACTCGAAATGGTTTTGTAATTTCTTGGATCGAAGGTCATATAATGAAAGTACGCATTTTTAATCGGAATGATGCATTTTCGTTAAGATAAATTATAAAATTCAAAAAATTAAGATTGTAGTTCCAGAAGTATGAAATTCATTTTCATTCTTGACGATGGATATACAAGGTGCGATAAAAAGTATGTCCAGATTGTCCCGGGATGAAGAAGGATATGTTTAAACGTGATGAAAATCGCTATGTTCCGAAAAAGAAATATAGTGTCAGTCATTGTCGAATTTGTGAAATGTATAAATACAGTAACTTTTCATGAGGTTTATACGAGGGAATATGAAAGAGACTTTTTATCGCACCTTGTATTTCCATCGTCAAGAATAAATGAATTTCATACTTCTGACACACTACAATCGTAATCATTTGAATTTTATAATTTTTATCTTAACGAAAATGCATCATTTCGATTAAAAATGCATACTTTCATTATATGACATTCGATCCAAGAAATTACAAAACCATTTCGAGGTCAGACACCATACATCCTCATGACGAAGTAACACTCCATTATTCCACTAGTAACACAAAGAAAATTATCTTTCATCTACTGAAGACTACGTTATTCTTCATTCCATCATTCAGTATTTCTTGTATCACTTTGTATAGACTTTTTCAGAATTTTCTGTATTCGAACACGATCACATATCCGACGACTATACACACAACGTTGATTCTTCGGAGAAGAATTTCAATTTCATTCAATTAATCGTCGAAAAAATGCATCATTCTGAATGAATGTTCATAACACGATTATCAAAGCTCTGAATATGAAAATTCCAAAAACGTTTCGATAGAAAGCATCAATCAAGAGGTGAGAAAAAAATTAAAAAAATTATCTGTTCAAACGGTAAGGTGACGACCACGATGCAATTTTACACCCATTCAATCATCACCCTGTAGCAATTTTATCTGAAATTACAGAAGTTTCATATTGCCACAACAAACTGTCAAGAGATTAGGCTAATTATCGGTGAAAACCGATTTCAAATTGGTGAGGAAATTCGTGTTATTCTACTTTGAATTCAGGCTATATTTTGGACCACGACGTTATCAATGTTTGACCAGTTTAGTTTCCACATAATCGTAAAAATTGAGTCTAAAAATAGTGTTTCAACGCCTTGTTTCTTGAATACGGATGCCTTTACGAATTTGGTTTACTGCAAACCCAACTTATTATATTGTAGTGTTCTACCTATGCCGGCAAACAACGATACCACATCTTTTGAAACACCCTGTATAAAATTAATTGATTAGGATGTTCAGTTCCGATCAATCACTGAAAATGTTGTGAATCAAAATAATACAGAAAAATTTCTATACTAACCTGATTTCTTCAACATTTCAAGTCCCACTTTGGCATCTTCTATACTAAGCATGTAAGATGTTTTGGCAGTATGGAAACAAAATCCGCACTCATAATTACATTTCCTTGTAAAGTGATAGTTTACACTTTTTGGTACAATCTCTCGTTCAGCGTTAACACTCTTTTCTACTTCAACAGGATGATTTTTTGATTCACTAGATTTTCTTCTCAACATTTCCCAAATCAGTTGAAATTGTGCAGGTGCATTTTTTGTAATGATAGTAATAAATAATATGAACAAAATAATACTGCTAAATATGTCACTGTTCAACATACTGATAAGAACGTTCAGGAGCATTATCAAAATATAAATTCAAACATGAATGAGTAGGTACTGAAAAATATTATTTATTTATATTCAAACCTCAGGGAATCCCCGTTCTGTATATCTCTAATTTATTTTCATGTTGATACTTGATACTCTTGATAGTCAGTGCATCGTGGATCCCACAGATCACAAATTAAATACCTGGGTATTATACCTGTTGTGCAGTAGTGGATCTCAGAGAACATCAGTATATGATAGGAAAATGAAAAACAAGAAGATATCGATTAATCCAATGTTAACTGCACTTAATTGAAAAGAAATATACGAGTCAGTTTTTATCATAAAACTGAAGGTGTTCATCAATCATCATCGAAAAATTTTAAGGTTTTCCACAAATATTCTTACACAATATTACTTCCTTCATGAATAGATAATTATGTGAGATTGTGAAGTTGAAATTTTTCCAAAGTTGGAATTTTCAAATGGTGATTCGTAGGAAACTTTCAGGCAGGTTTATTTCAACATTTTAGAATGTACAGGGTGGCCAACTAAGAATCTAGAGTTCGATACCTCTGTTGTCTTGAGAGATACAAAAAAAAGTTTCGCATTCAAATTAAAGTGATAACCGAGCTTAACATTTCAAAATTTCTTTGAAATACAGAGGGTGTTCCGTAAAGTCACAGCACATCAAAGCTATGTTTTTTTCATTGGAACACCCTATATTTTATTTCATTTTTGAATTCTCCCTGAAGATCTGATTTCAACGACGTATCATACTTAGGGTCTAGCAGTGGAAGTTACTGACATATAGGGTGTGCAAAATCGAGATTTTCCAAGTTCAGAATTTTTTTCTGTCGAAACTGTTCATTATTCGTCAAAACGGTTTACATGTCCTTATCTCAACTTTTCACTCACTATCAATTGGTGTTCAATTGACATTTAATTGAAACAAATTGAAAATTCAGATTTTTTGACACCTTGTATCAATTTCAATTGAACACCAATTGATAGTGAGTGAAAAGTTGGGATAGGGACATGTGAACCGTTTTGACGAATAATGAACAGTTTCGACAGAAAAAAATCCTGAACTTGGAAAATCTCGATTTTGCACACCCTATATGTCAGTAACTTTCACTGCTAGACCCTAAGTATGATAAGTCGTTGAAATCAGATCTTCAGGGAGAATATTCAAAATGAAATAAAATATAGGGTGTTCCAATGAAAAAAACATAGCTTTGATGTGCTGTGACCTTACGGAACACCCTGTGTATTTCAAAGAAATTTTGAAATGTGAAGCTCGGTTATTACTTCAATTTTGATACATGACTTTTTTTGTATCTCTCAAGACAACAGAGAAATCGAACTCTGGAGTCTTAGTTGGCCACCCTGTACAGTGGATTGTCATAAAAATAAAATTTTCATTGCACGGCTACGCACCTATGTCATTTTGGACCAGCTGTCGAAATTTTTCGTTGTATTGAAAAAAATGGACCCGGCCCTATTTTCATGGTAGGAATTCGTATCACTGATCAGTGCCGGTTTAAGGTGATTTGCCGCCTGGTGCTATGATGGACACGCCGCTCTTCAGGCCCAATTAAAATATTCCTAATCTTTCAGGTCTTTGGATTTTTTCCCATGACACATTTTTGAAGTGATAATTAATTCTATAGACACGTTGGACATTTTCTGGGATGGGAGTAAAACGGCAAACTCGCGTCCCGGCTGCCGCGTACCATAAGACCGGCATAATCATATAAGCAGTGTATACCTATACCATAGAGGTTCTACGCACACCAGTTTTTTTTTATAGAAGTTTGATGAATGAAATGAAAAATTTAATATAACAAACAGGGATGTTGTGGAATGAAATTAAAAACATAATTCTCTAGTGTTCACATAATGAATAACAAGAAAAATTGATAGGTATGTTAGAATGAAAAAGAAAAATCAAATGATAATAGGCAAGTACGTAACTAGAAACAAAAAGTAACAATACAAAAATGTGTTTCCTTGCTTCAATGGAAGCCTTTATGTTGTTGCAATTGCATACCTCGTTGGTCCCAGCACTGGGACCAAACGCCCCATAAGTCGAAACTTGTGCGGGGTTAAGTATACATACAACATCCATGGCCTAACTGTGCGATCTTGTCTGTCATAGACGGTATTTTTTCTACTCGATTTATACTGATCAATAAAACACTAGTTGACTAATACACTACATTTATTAATCAACTCCGACTGATGTGATGTATACAGAGAACCCGAATTCGTGTATGCCTATGGCCTATACGACAGCTTCTTAAAAACAGTACTGACTAACTCGAATTGGTGCCGGAGCCCAGAAGGGACGCTTGCACTTAGCCAAAAAGATATATAAAACAGATGTAATTTATGCTCACATTTGGTTTTCTAGACATACTTGAAATATTTGACGAGACACTTTTAAGCCAATCATATTTGACAATCAACAGCATGCCCTTATATGGAAAATAGTCTAAGCGAGAAAAAACCCTAAGCTTACTAGCCTACATAAAAAACCGTAAAGTTTGAACACTAACTAGAATTCGAACCTATGTCTCGGGTGGGAGTCCCCATACGAACTCAGCGCCTTCACGCTCTCGACCACCGAGCCGCCTTTACAAGTTCTTGTTTGAGTTGAGACAAAATTGTTACCTCAAAAATTTCAAAACCAAATATTCATATTGGGAAAAGAAGATATTTCATTATTCTCGTGTACAACTTGGACTAATTTCATAATAGGAGTTTCTGCTTTAGTCTCTATGAGAGAAAACTGTTTTTTTTTTTCAGATGAATAACATTCGTCAGAAACAAATTTGTCCAGATCCTCTACATACAAATTTTCATCCTCTGCTTACACTATCTTGAACAGAAAGTCAAATTAATCTTGGGATGATTCACTTTTTATCTTAACATTTTCAGTTTAGGTAGATAATGACTGATGACAAAATATGTGCAGCTGTATTTTCATATAGCCGCCCTGAAGATTTTGCCGTCTGATACTATAGCACCCAAAAGACTCCTGATAAAACCGGCACTGTCACTGATGCAATCCTGGCGATATAATGATGGTTTTTCGGTATTCTATGTATCAATAGATGCAAATTGAATTTTACTTGATTTTTTGGGATTTTCTCTCGTTTCTATAAAATAAAAATATGCGTATTATTTCAATATATTTGTAGTGGCTTTTGGGCTCCCTGATAGAAATATTTGTTAAACGCAGTGAAATTTTGGGGCAAATCATCTGATTTGTCTCACTACAAATATATTGTAATAATACCATTGAGTTTTCACACATATAATCAAGGATAATACGCATATTTTTATTTTATAGAAACGAGAAAATCCCAAAAAATCAAGTAAAATGGATGTGTCACCTCCTCGATTAACCTACAGACAGTATTTTGCAAATTGAATGTTACTCCTTATGGTTTTTCTCCCCAACTCAAAACTTGATAAGAAGAAAAACACAGTTTTTTTTTATGAAAAACATCACAAGCAATAAAAAATTGGAAAGTGTCAAGCAGCGCTAGCGTCTATAGAAATGAAACATTCTTGATGACCATTATATCCCCCTAGAGATTCACCGTAGGACTGCCCTCGAGAGAGCATAATTTACCCCTCCTATCTAACTCGTTTTTGGACTCTTGTTAGGAAAATCAATTTTTACAAGGTACATTTTTGATATGAAAATTTTACCCATATAATTTCATCCCTTACTGATGAAGGGGAGCAACCTTTTCGAAACATTCAAATAGCATTGGGTGGTGATAGCTTCATGAAAAGGGATTTTATTTTCTATTCAACCGTGCAAAGAAATTGAAATTTGATCCATAATTTTTGAGTCATTATTGTTTCAGAATAACGGACATTGAGGTAAATAAGATATGAATTTAGAGGAAAACTATTCATACAAGAATGTATCAAATTTTTTAACAAGAATCCACTAGCAAAGTTTCATAGGGGGGGGGTTAACATTTATTTGATGCTATAATTGCATATGCTTTTCATTTCATCACCAGATGTTGTATTGTATTTATTCAAATAGTGAAAACCACAGGTGATGAAAACAAGGTTTTTATATTTGACAATGTGTTTATTTACGGTCTAAATTTGTACTAAATATATATAATATATAAGTACCCTATATAAAAATACATCACTCTACACACAGTTCAGTAGACATGGGATAATCTTGAAAAAAATACTTCTCAAACCAATATCCTCAATAATTAATAAGGTTTACAACTCCTTCCTATAATTTTCGGTTAAATAATGCCTTCTGGTCATTGCTAAATAAATTCGCAAGACAGATTTTGTTTCTATGAACGCCCTAACACAATGTATGAACTTTTATATTACAATGATACATTTTTTTTCTGTCTTCCAAACTTGGAGGAAGAGATGTTCAAGAAAAATATTGAAAATACGTAACAATAGTTATTTATTATACAAGGGAAAAAAGTAGTAGATTTTAGCTCCAGGTTGTGTTGTCTCCCGACGCGTAGCGGAGGGAGACAAAAAACCGTGAGCTACAATCTAATATTTTTCCCGTGTATAATACACTATTTTTTTCTGTGACAGAAGGAAGGACGAATAAATATTGGGAAGATATTACATTATTTCGAAATCTGAAAATTATCGACGTGAAATTTCAAGTTTTTAACAGTAGGGACACCTGCGTTTTATAGACATCTTTATCATTCTTTTGAAGTAATCAAATATCTGATGTCACTTCTGTCAGTTCAATTCTGTGATTTGATTTTAAAAAATTGCGAATTCAGTAGTTGTTTAGTAATATACGAAACCGCGAAGTCGAATGGAAGATAAAAGGACTTGCAGTTCTTTCTCGGAGACGGTATTATTGACTTATTTTTCGGAACTATAGCACAACAAAAGCCATTAACAGAGTATATATATGTGATATATATCCGGGAAAGAAGTACTCACTTTTTTCCCACGGGAAAAAAGTAATTTATGAAAAGTGACATTTTATAACCTGCCAACAG